GGTAATGCACATTTCTGAAGCATGCTTACCTCTTGGAAGGATTCTACCAGATTTTCAGCATCCCTTTTTCATCCAGGTTGAAGGCTGTAGGACCAGTGCTGGGCAGAGCAGATTGTCAAGGATATGACCAACAGGAAGAAACCGGCAAACAGCATCCCAATCTTCTCCATTCTGCAAAAATCCAAAATAAAAATTAAATTAAAAATGGAGTAATCTACCTAGAATAGTCCTGTGCATGCAAAATGCATCGCAATTATTTAAGTACATTACCTGATTGACAGCAGACGAAAGGAAAGGAAGAGCATTTGCCTCTAGCGCCTCCTTTGAGTCGTACGTTCTCACCTTTTATAGATGCCCATTTTCCCCACTGAAGCATCTCCTCCAGCTGACCACGCAAACCCTCTCTCTCATGCTAACTGTAATTGCAGTCTTAAGTCATAATGAGTGAGAAGAAGGAAGGAAGGAATTGGAGCGCCTTCCTCTCTAATGGATAAACACAGCTGATCTTCCTCTCTTTGAAAGCCTCAGAGGTAGCAGCAGGTATTTTTTAGAAAGAGGAAATTAAAAACAAGCAGATTAAGATCCAGGTGACTCTGCTATTTTCAGGGAGGGCAGGGAGGAATTGAAATCTTTTGTCTAATTTTAATGGCTTTGAAATATTCTTATTTGGAACAAGCTTTTAGATTTAATTTGGCTTCTGATTTCCTAACTGCAAGTGCTTGTGACAGTGAAGACTGGTGAACTCTAAAAAGCATAGGGTGGCCTATTCAGGTCTTGGATGTCAATCTCTTCTGCTGCTAAAAACAACACAAAGTTCAATCTGGGTCTTTTGAGCAGCAGATCACTACAGAATTAAGAATTGTTGTTGTTTAGTCGTTTAGTCGTGTCCGACTGTTGCGTTCGCAAAGTAAAGGAAGGATTGAACTCTGATTAATAAGAATACACACAGAGACTTGAACCAGCAAGACTCTGGGAAGGGTGCGTATAATCGTGTCTCTCTGTGCTTGTCCGTGTCTGCAGCCCCCCTGGCCCAGGTAGTTTTTATTCACAAAAGAACTTTACAGAGTGTTCGTAAGAACCAATCAGATTTCTTCTGAGCATTTCCATAAACCCACGTGGGGACAAAGTTAAACCACTAAAACTAATTAAGCACAAATATTTCTGGGGTAAACAAAGAACAGAACTACAAAGAAGAGCATCTGGCAACCCCGGAGGTAATAAACAAGCAATACATATGATAAGAAGGATGGCCAGGAGGACAGTGACCATTATCCCCTTAATGTGAGATCTGCTTCCTGGCCCTAAGATTAACATCCTATCAGAAAGGCTACTTAAAAGAAACTTGCCCACTATCTTTATGGCCCAGGATGCCTACCTGGCGAAGCAACTGCTATGTATGCGACAAGAGAAATGGGCAGTAGAGGAAATGGCCAGAGATGCAGAGGTGTAGATTGATCAAGAATCATATCAAAATAGTTTAAACCCAGTCAACGCAATGCTTTCATTGCTGACACAGATGGCTTACTCTATATCTGTTATAATTCCTCATAGCAATCCCACCTGATCACTACATCTCTGGATATTTGCACTCCTACATCCGACTCTTCGTGACCCCATGGACCAAAGCACGCCAGGCCCTCCTGTCTTCCACTGCCTCCCGCAGTTTGGTCAAAGAACACCATCCAACCATCTCGTCCTCTGTCGTCCCCTTCTCCTTGTGCTCTCAATCTTTCCCAGCATCAGGGTCTTTTCCAGGGAGTCTTCTCTTCTCATGAGGTGGCCAAAGTCTTGGAGCATCAGCTTCAGGATCTGTCCTTCCAGTGAGCACTCAGGGCTAATAATCTCCCTATTTTCAAGGAGGGTATTACTATAATTTTATAGACAAGTTTTTCTCAATTTCTCATTGTTCCAATCTTAAATTCAGTTCTGCACATTTCCACATGAGTTAGCACTTTTTAAAAAGTCTCCAGCATCTTAGTGTACACCACTGTATGTTTTTGTGTGCAGTTTTGCCTAATGAGTGTTTTGCAAAGAAAGCAATGCAAAGCAGCGTGTAATTTTCACCACTATATACATATTCATACACACTTTCTCCATATATACAATTTTAACACAATTTTTGGTTGGAGAATCGAATTGAGAAATTCAGAGAAATCAAATTCTGAAGGACAGCTGTATTTTGGTTTGCATATTTTTTCAGGAAGTATGGATTGGGTGAGTTCACATTAAATGCGATCCAAACGAAATCTATTCAGGACTAGAAGCTGCTGGATGGCAGGGGAGGGGAAAATGGGATTGTTCTGTTGTCTTTATGCCCTGTTTATGTGGCTTGGGTGAATAACTTTGTTTCAGAGCTGTGCTGGTGGTGCAGAAGTTGTACAAGTCTAGGAACAGAGGAAACTGCCTTACCCCAGGTAAGCCCATTGAGCTCAGCATTATTTCTACACTGACTGGCATCAGCTCTCCAGGATTTCAGACAGGAAATCTTCCCTAGTCCTACCTGGAGGTGGCGGTGATTGAATCTGGGATCTTCTGCAGGCAAGACAGATGCTCCACCCCCAAGATACAGCTCTTCTCAACAGAGTGGTGCATGCTCAGGTTATCTCCTGCTTGGACCACTGCCATGCAATCTACGTGGGTCTACGTGACTCAGAAACTACAACTAATCCAGAATGCAGCAGCTAGACTGGTGACTGGAAGTAGCTGTTGGGACCATATAACACCAGTCCTGAAAGACCTACATTGGCTCCCAGTATGTTTCTGTGCACAATTCAAAGTGTTGGTGCTGACATTGAAAGCCCTAGACAGCCTTGGCTCTGTATATCTGAAGGAGCGTCTCCATCCCCATCGTTCAGCTCAGACACTGAGGTCCAGCTCCGAGGGCCTTTTAGCGGTTCCCTCACTGCAAGAAGTGAAGTTACAGGGAACCAGGCACAGGGACTTCTCAGTAGTGGTGCCCTCCCTGTGGAAGGCCCTCCCATCGTATGTCAAGGAGATAAAGAACTACACAACTTTTAGAAGACATCTGAAGTTTTTAATGTTTGATGTTTTATTCTGTTTTTATATGTGTTGGAAGCCACCCAGAGTAGCTGGAGCAACCCAGCCAGTTGGGCAGGATATAACAACAACAACAACAACAACAACAACAACAACAACAACAGTATCTGGTGATTCTATTGACCCTCAGCTATTAGAAGGCTGCTCAAATATTAGACAGCTGTATAAAAATGGTGTACTGGAGCTTACATGGAATACATTCCTGTGTACGCAGCTTTCTATTACCTTATTCACATTCTCTTCCCCACTTTCCCTGCATATTAGTGAACTAAAGCAGTTGCTAAAGCTAAAAATAATCAAGGAGAATTAAAAAGGTTAGATGCTTTTGTCTCCTCAGTTGCAACAACCTTGAAGGGAAGGAACAATGTGAACCTCCTGCAGGGATGGCCAGGTATCAAGAACTTTTATTAGCATTTGTTAATAGGGAAGGTGGCTGGATGTTCCGAGGCAGGTGAAATTAAGTCATCATTGCCACAGTGGACACTGAAAAACTGGCTAAGTGGGTGGACTTTTGCAGTCATGACAGGACATGGTATGGCTCCAATTCCCCCTTCCTGTAGTGCAGGCTTCCTCAAACTTGGCCCTCCAGGTGTTTTGAGACAACAATTCCCATCATCCCTGACCACTGGTCCTGTTACCTAGAGATCATGGGAGTTGTAGGCCAAAAACATCTGGAGGGCCGAGGTTGAGGAAGCCTGCTGTAGTGCTTCCTATGCCCTTTAGTACTAGAGCACCTGCTTTGCATGCAGGTCCCTGGATCAAAGATTCCTGCCTGAAACCTTGAGAGAGATGCTGCCAGTCATTGTAGACAATTCTGAGCTAGATGGACCGGATGTCTGACATGCTATAAAGCAGCTTCCTATGTTCCGCACAGGTACTTGTATATCATTTCAGCGATTCCTTAAAATCCACCCCCACCACCCCCGTTCTGTATTCTCTATCCCAAGCAAAACCACTTTGGCACAATAGTACTTGTCATGGACTGTTTGGATATGAAGAAACGGTGGGAGGAACCAGGTGGAGAACCACCAAGAGAAGAAAGGTCAGAGCCCGGGGAGTGGTGATGGGACAACAAAGATAGAGAAGACTGGGAAGAGGAGGTGTCAGAAGCTGAAGAGGCAACAGGGCCAGTGGCATTGCATGAGCAAACAGTGCTGGAGGAGTGCATGCATGTGCACCAGGGAGTGGGCACATGAGCCAGAGGCACATTAATATGGCTTTCTACCTTGCCACACTAGATGTCCCTTGCTTAGATAACAAATCAAGATTCCCAGTGTTAATGACATTGCATGGTTCGTTTTTCCAGTTCAGAGGCAGGACTCTTGCAAGCTTTGAATATTCTTTATTGGTGCAGCTGTACAGCAGTGTGTGATCCACACTCTCTGACAAGGTCAGATGTGCCTCACCTGCAGCACTGGAGGTCTTATCTATGCAAGTGAACCATGCTGTGATTTCTCAAGAAATAGGGCTTCAGGAAATGAGTATCATTTATACAGTTAGGAAAATAGAATTCTCCAGCACGTTGTCTTACTGCTACTGTCTGATACAAACATGTTAAGATCCAAGTTGGGAGGGGAGAAGCTAAACTGATTTCTTCAGACCTGAAAGACCATGTGGAAGTCCTTGGCTTGGCACCCTGAAAGAAGCATCACTTTCTATGAAGTAGCTCTGCTCCAACCTCTGTGCCAATACTTGGTTGAAATCACCCATGGTGTTCTTCAATATTCTCAATCATTTGTGTGTCTCCAGATGTTGATGGGCACTATCTCCCATCAGCCCCAGTCAACAAGGCCAGGGATGATGGGATCTGAAGCATAGCAACATCTGGGCAGGGGTCCAGGTTCCCCACTCCTGTTCTTAGATTTAGAATCCAGATTGGTACAGAAGAATATTGCTTCCTGTTCCTGCAGTAGAATTTCACGGTGCCCCAACCCCACATCAATGTACTTGCACTCTACCTGTCATACCTCATCCAGGTGACTGAAGGTCCCAATTTCCCTGGTTAAGCGTGGAATTGAGAAGCAAATAATCTACTGAAGTTGAAACTGCAACTGTGTGAAACAGCAAAGAGTGGTTGCACTTTATTTGTGAACGGCAGAAGGAAATGAATTTCAAAAATGAAGGCCAAAGGTTTCATTACACTTACAGCATGTGGTTCAAGTTATCATGTTAAAGAGAAACTTCAAACCCTCATCTATGAAACCAGTTCACCATTAAAACCAGAGTTCACTTGGAGTCTGTTTGCTTGGGTGGGTACATTAACTTAAAATTCATTACAGGTGTTTCAGACACGCTATTTCCTACTGGGACAGTCACCATGACAGAAAACAGCATATGACATTTTCACTTGTGAAGAAGTGTGCATATAGGAATATAAGTGAGTATTTGTGTCACATGGTGGACAGAAGCATTCCCACATGGAATGAATGAGCCTGGGTAAAATTGGCTTCCTACCATGCCGTCTTCATTATACAAAGACTAGTCTGCACAGTTGTTTAGTCTCACCAAGGAGGGGAGAGATGCATGTTGTTGATCACCACCTCCTTTGGGCAGCGTCCACCCCTTTGATTTCTGTCTTTTGAGTTGCATAGAAGTCAGCACCTGAGGTATCCATTTTTGCTGGCACCCAGCTTTTATTTGGTATTGAAAGTTTCTACATGTGCCTGTTCTATTGTAGGTACAGAAAACACAAAGACATACAGAGAAAAAGCTTTTGCATTGTCATTACAGTGGAACAAAGTCTCATGGGATAAAGTCGTGTTGGTGGGAAGAATTGCTCAGTACTCATGCTGCCTACAGTCCATGATGTCCTTCTTGGTACAAGACACTTTGCCAACCTGCTGTCCTCCAGGTATTTTGGACCACAACTTCCCTCAGCCCAGGTAGCTCAATGAGGAGGGAGAAAGGGCTCTGCAACATTTGCCATGCTGGTTTAACCAGAGCTATTTTGGTCACCCGCAAAGGAAGATGCCTTAGCTCCCCACTTTCATAAATGAGCTAGATAGTTGCATAGGTTACAGTTGGAACATGTAACTGCAGCACAGGGAAAGCCAACCTGCTGGCCTCCAACTGTTGCAGATTTCAACTCCCATTCGGCCCAGCCAGCATGGGCATTGGTCAGGGATGATGAGAGTTTTAGTCCAAAAGATCTGGAGAGCAGTGCAATGGCTACCCCTCCTCTAGAAGCAATAGTGGAGAACAAGAAGACCCTGCGTGCCTCACTTCAGTTGCTGCTGGGGGCAGACAGGAATTGTAAATCTAATTATGTGCCTACATTTTATCAAATCGGGGATGAGGAACCTTTTACCTCCAGATTTTGCTGGACCCTGAGTCCCATCACTCCTGGCCATGCTGGCTGGGGCTGATGGAAATTGGGAATCTCACCATTCCTGCATTACAAAACAAAAAATAACCTTGTTGCTCCAGTGGAGCATTGGTTGTTTCTATTTCTCGATGCAGACACATTGAAAAGTTCCCGGGAAATGGACAACAGGGAAAGAGCAACTGGGAGCAACTCTGATCCCAAGGTTCTACTTGTTGTACAGAGTGTATTAGACTTCCTTGTAGTGTTTCCCATTGTTTGCCCAGAGAAAGTTTTTCGCTGTCCAAATGCTTGGACCTCTTTTCTGTGGCATCTTTGGCAAGACGTATTTTAGGCTGCACTGTTTCTGATCACTCCCTGCTAAGAGACTTCTGAGCAACAGCAGAAGTTGGGATTAGGCAGTTTAGCTTCCCCATCCAACTTTCTATTTGGCCTGGAAAAAACTAACAGGAAAGAAGGTAAAAATGGGCCAGACAGAAATGAGATACATTCGTCACAGTGGCAGAAGTCTGCAACCATACTGGCCTGTTACAGGTTTCAAGACACACTCAGCCAGCTGTAACTTACAAACTATGCTATTATCTTTCTTCCATAACATTTGAAGCAGCTACACTTGTAATAGCCTAGTGACAGAGCATGTGGTTTGCCTACAAAAGGTACCAGGTTCAATCCCCTGTCTGAAACTCTGGGGAGCAGCTGGGCCTGTGGTCAAAATTCAGCCCAGCATTGGTCCCAATTTGAATGGCAAAGCAGTTTTCTCCAAACCACACCCATCTGCCCCACACCTGGTATCATATATGACATATGCAGACATTACAGAGATAGATGGACTAATGGTTCTACCATATTATCAACAGGTTCCTATGTTCCTAATGGATAAACCTCTGGGATCTGGGGCTGACAGCCTCTACCCTGAGTGTATCCAATTTCAAAGTGTGCTATAATAAGCAGCAGGGGATGTTCAGACCAGAGCACACAACTTCTCTCACACTTCCAAATGTGACTGATGAATGGGTCTGCACCATGAAAGGAAGTTCTTGCTACACCCAGCACTCTGTTAAGGGATGGGGGCAAGATGGCCCTTCATCATTCGTTATTCTGAAACAGTGAATAAATTAATCTGAGCTCACAGGAGTGAAGCCTATCTTACACGTAGATACTCTAGCTAGCAGCCATTCTCGTTCTACAAAGATGACTTTGAAAGTGTAGCGAATGGTATAGTTTGCGTGGGCCTGAAAGGCGGAACACCACCACAAAATGGATGCAATGTCTTTGAACTGTCAGTGAACTGCTCATGAACTGTGTTGTATAAGTGCTAACGGATGGGGAAAACATCTTGATGTTTTGGCAAAAACTGTGTGTGTGGGAACGGAACAGCACAAGGCGGGTTGGTATTGGGCTGCACAGCTTTACAAAACAGTCAGATAAGATAAGAGTTGTGAGACGATGCCAAGGACAAGGATGAGATGTTGTCAAGGACAAGGATGTGAGATGCCGAAAACATGCCAACGACAAGGAGTTGTGTAAGCATCAGGAGTTGCCAGGCATCAGATGAACGAACAAGGTGTATATCAAAGCCCTCCAGCCTCAGTTGTGTGCATTGACAGCTGTCGTTTGCCACCTGTGCCTCTTACTGGGTCAGATCAATCCAGTGTAGAGTGGGGAGTATGGATGTGTGTATGATTAAGTGCATGTCTCCTGTCTTGTCATGTTTGTTAATCAATAAAGCAATGTTACAGAGAAAATCCAACATTGGTTGTCTGAGGTTTACTTGCACCTTCCCTGGAGTGTACTGGGTCTTATTTATGCTAAACACCTAAACAGATTAAAAGGACCTATTTGGTCACAACAAAAGTGGTACCTGAAAGGGGGCAAGTGGGCTAATTAATATGCAACATGAACAAATCAAAACCTCATTTTTTGGCTACTGTGTATGATCCATACTGCTACTAGACATTTAATAAATATAAATTGCATATATTGTGCTTTAATAAATTAACAAATCTCTTAAAATGCATTCTGGAGTGAGTGAGGTGGTGCACAAGTGCCAACGTATTCAGAGCAAACAGCAACATCTCTGCTTCCAAAGCCCTCCAACTTTCATGGTTTGGTTCAACAGCTACTTCTACGCCTATGAAAGGGAAATTCCCACATATGTGTGATCTGAGGCAGTTCCTTAGTCAACCACAGAGAAACTCAAAGCCATGGAAGAATTGTTGCTCCTACGTTATTAAGGATAAAGGGTGGAACGAAGGTGATCTGCAGCAAGAAGCTCCCATTCTTCTGGAGAGCCTATCTGACACTCTGAGACATGTGTAGCGGCGTCAGCATCTCTTCAAAGATGGCTCCTTTCACATTTGACCCTCTCAGATTGGCTTCTTGCAGGTCACAGCCCGACAGGTCACAATTCTGAAATGGCAGAGAGACGTTGGTAACTAAAGTCTCCTCTTTTTATATGTTTAAAACACGCACACACACAAAGCTAACAGCTTCCATCTTGTTAAGTTAGGTTGAATTTATTCACCTTAGTTGATTTCCATTTGCAGCATTTTACTTCCTGATGCTCAGAGGATATTTTGTACATTCGTTTACTACGCTTGTGAATTTTCTTTGTGTTTTGTAGCTGCTTTTTATGTGCAATGTTTATTTTGATATTAAAGAGGATGCTCCTTTTAGTTGTTAATTGTGTTTTTATATAATAAATAATAATAATAATAATAATAATAATAATAATTGCACCCCACCTATCTGTGCCCCAGCCGCTCTGGGTGGCTTCCAACATATATAAAAACATAATAAAAAATTAAACATTTAAAAACTTCCCTATACAGGGTTTGCCTTCAGATGTCTCTTAAAAGTCAGACAGTTGTTTATTTCCTTGACATCTGAAGGGAGGGCGTTCCACAGGGCAGGCGCCACTGCCAAGGAGGCCCTCTGCCTGGTTCCCTGTAACCTCACTTCTCACAGTGAAGGAACCACCAGAAGGCCCTCAGCGCTGGACCTCAGTGTCTGGGCTGAACAATTGGGGTGGAGATGCTCCTTCAGGTATGCAGGGCTGAGGCCATTTAAAGGCTTTTCAGGACCGGTGTTATATGGTCCCGTCGACCGTTCCCAGTCACCAGTCTAGCTGCCACATTCTGGATTAGTTGTAGTTTCTGAGTCACCTTCATGGGCAAACACTTTTGATAATTTATTACAAATGTAAGGCGATACCTTACTGTTGGCGCCAACAGCGAACCAAAAGGTAGCTAGCCATGGAAAGATACAAAAATGTATTCAGTAGCATTGAGAACCAAAGACCCTTTTAAATGAAAAGTCACCTGAGATTTGTGAAAAGTGTTAACAGAAACCCTGTAAATGCTCAGCTGTTGATCAAAAGCTGAAAATGTAACTTACCTCCAAGTCAGTTCCTGCAAGAGTTGCTCCTCTCAGGTTGCAGTTCTTTAGCTTTGCATTTTTCAAAGTTGCAACTCTCAGATTTATTCCAGTCATCTGACTACCTTCCATATCAACTCCTTTCAAGTTAGCACCTGAAGTAGGAAATAACATTTTAAGTCCAGTTTAAAAATGTGAATGAGTTCATTCTCATTGCCTGCTCTTGACCTTCTCATTGAGAACAACCACTCTAGTTCTGCAGCTTGATGCTCTGGTTTCTTAATGAAATGCAGTTAAAGGTCTCAGACAAGGCTCTTTCCCATCGTCAGCTGCCTGATATGGAGGTGCCATCATCTATGCCTCCCTACTCCAAACCAACACACTTATGAAGCAATCCATCTTCAGAATTATCCAAGAGTAATATGGAGACTGTAAGTTCAGCAGATGAGCTCATTTTGGCTTTAGTACAGGTGTCCCGTCCCCCCACACTTACACACAAATTACTTGCGTGTGGCTGCATGAACTCATGGAGCTGGGAAATATTTAAATAATACAATTCAACCTGGAAATGGCAGGAGAGCTGAGTCCTTGAGGCTCATGAGGAGACATTCCCTGGAGCCCAAAGAAGACGTCAGTGAGGGTGGAGGAAGCCCCAAAGAGGCCAGAGGCACAGTGGTGATTTGTTTACACTGCTCAGCCTCCCCACCTAACAGCTGATTGGCAGATTAGGGCAGCAGCAGCAGCCACAGCCACTTTCCCATGCGTCCTCCAGCCTCCTGCCGGCCCCAGAGCTTCAATTCTAGTTGCGGATACTCTTGGATACAGTATTTTTTGTATGAATTGAAGAGAGAGTGTCAGAGAGGGCATTTAAAGAATGCTCCCCATATTATGCAATTTCACTTATGCATGCAGGGCATCTGAATGTAACCCCCACATAAGTGGGGAGATGCCTGTAATCCTCCAAGCTATTTCAGAATTTCCCTGTCACTACAGCATGTGTCATATAAAAGCAGAAAGGCACCAAGTTTTTGTTTTTACCTTCTAGGTTAGCTTTAAGGCCAGAGGGGTCCTCAAAATTGCACCCTTTCAGGGATGCTCCTTCTGCGTTAGAACAAAGCATCTTTACTCCTTGGAGGTTGGCACACTGATGGAGAGAGAGAGACAGCTAAAATGAATCAGAGTCAGAAGATGTGCAACGTATTAACTGGTCCAGATGTGAATATTCTATGTTTGAGACATGCCTGACCAGCCTTTGCTTATGGAAATTCCACAGCCCCCATTGGTAGCCTATTTAATTGTTACAATGTTCTTATTTTCCAAAAGTCTTTCCTACATCTACCCTCCAGTATTCCAAAAGCACTGGTTTTGGTCCTGTCCCAGCGGATGGGTAAAAAACCCTGCAATTCTCTTCAAGCAATGGTTCAAGGACACTTCTGTTCCAGCTCCGATGCCTCTTGTGTATTTTGCAGGTGAATCCAGGTGGTGGAGAGAGGTATTGAAGAATGTATAGGATGGGAAATTAGGGAATTAGGAAATTAGGAAGCTGCCCTTATACCAAGCCAGGCCACCGGTTCATCTAGCTCATTATGGTCTATACTGACTGGCAACAGCACTCCAGGGTTTCAGGACAACTAATGCAGCTGTTATCCTTAGGCTAGTTTCTATACATACTCACACATCCCTCTCTATCCTCCAGGCAGGCAGGCAAGAGGCATTATCAGAGCTCAAGGACACATTCTTGCCATGCAAATAGGACGAAGTCCTGGGCAAGGGGTGTGGCTGGGAAGGGAGTGTGGCCTGCAGGAGTCCCAAGGGCTTGCTAGGAAGGACTGGAGGGCTGTATTTGGCCTCCAGGCCTGAGGTCCGCCACTCCTGGACTCAGGGCAATGTTGTCATGCTATTAAAGAAACCTTATTCAGTTAATCAGGCCAGCTGCATAAATGTACCCAACTTTGTTCTAGAGACAAATGTATGCTGGTTTTTAGCCCCACTCCAAACAACACTCACATCTAGAACTGATCCAGAGAGATCTGCTCGTTCAAGGTTTGCACAGCACAGGTTGGCATGGGCCAGGTTGCATCGGCTCAAGTTGGCCATCTTGAAGTTGATATATCGGAGATCTAAACGAGAGAGATCTGCCCCGCTGAAATTTAAACCCTGAAAAATTGGGAGAAGGGAGGGGGGAAAGACTTGCTGCCTGTATAGCACTTCAGAGCACTCAACAAACTTTGCCTACATGATCTCAAGAATCCCTTACAATGAAGCCCGTTGGGGAGGATGGTGGCACCCCCACACTGTAGATGCAGCACTGGCGCTAAGAAACGTGTCCAGAGCCTTAAGCCACAGACTGTGTGTGGGGATGAGATGGGATTTAATTTTGGAACTACCCGGTTAACAATACTGGCTGTTGCATGGTCATGAACAAAAAAGAGCACCACTGAATATGAATTAATCAACTCTGTGTAATTGTTGACTGTATTGGCATTATACTGATCAAGAGAACAAACAAATTATCTGCTTTGTAGAAAGATGGGGGGATTTTCTATAGAGAGATTTTCATTGGTAAAAGATCAAATTATTCCAATTCATTGTGGGATATGGCTGGATCATGATTTATTTATTTTTGTTTCATTAAGTTACCGGAACAGTAGGTAGTAGTCACACCCTTCATTTACACATTCAGTAGAATGTGGTTGGAGAGTAGACCATACCACATTAAACGGTGGATGACGGAACACCATTTGTAATGCTCCCCATGTAAAAATGCAAAAGAATTCCTTCAATTAAAAAACTAGCATTTCTTACAGAGGGATTACAGTTCTACCTGTGCTAGTCTTTCTACCGGCATGAAATGTCCAAAAATGAAGCAAAAGAATGTAAAATTCACAGAGGCCATCAACGGCTACTGCTCATGACGGCTTTCTTCTAGATCCACTGTCAAAAGCAATATGCCTCTGAATGTCAGCTGCTGGGAATCCAAAGTGAGTGAGTGCTATTTCACTCAGGGCTTTCCAGAGCCACCTGGTTGGCCACTGCCAGAACAGGAGGCTGGACTAGACACACCCTCCAGCAGGCTCTTATACCATCTCAGATAGAAACATGGGGACACATTTTTAAATTCTGCTCCACATCAAAAGCTTCCTCCGCCACCTAGCAGATTGAAACTTGACCGGTGGGTGGGCTCTGCCCATTGGCCTGAAATGTCCCACAAAGGATAGGCCAGTTCTGGCCCTGACCCTCAGGCTGAAACAGATCCCCCACCTTGCCTTAGGAGTTATATGATAACCTATAGAATAACCCTAACTAACAAAGAACAATCTTTGTTCTTGATACCTGACAGCGTAGCTCAGATTTGGTTGAAGTCGCAAGTAGGAACCTAACAAATTCCTTTCGGGAGATTGGCGAATGATCTTCAGCTGGTTGTGAATTCTGTAGGGAAAGAAGAAGAGCAGCAAGAAATGACATTCAACTACTAGTTGAGTTTTCAGTGATGTTGGGGACTTCCGGGGTGGCGCCATCAGTAATGGCGGACTCCCTCTGATTTGGAGGGACCAGCTCCACGGGAAACGGGTCTTTTCTGCTACGGCGAAGCGGGGACCCTTTTAAAAATCACAGGCGGATGAAGCCTGTGACCATGGGACTCGGCGGGAACCTTTAGCGCCCCCCCAATCCGCAAAGGAACCCACTAACGGGCTCCGGAGCGAAGAGGGGGAAGTGGCGCGGTGCTGAGAGTCAACTGCTTCTTCCGTGGAGTGAAGCCGCACAGCCGTTGCCGGAGAGCGCTGCCTTTTTCCTGGGACAATTTGGCTTTTAAAACAATCACCCGTGAGTACTTAAATTTCGGACAATTGGACTCTAAATAAGGATTTGTGAGCTGAAAGGAAAATTGGACTTAAAAGTTTATTTTAATTTGGCACTGACGGGAAGGTCTAAACAGGAAGTCAGCCTTCCGTTCCTTTGTAGATAGATTAAAGCAAAGACATGGCAAATTAGAGTTCTGAAAATCGCTTGTAAAGGATTAACTTTCATCATTTTAAATTATTGAACCCCCTTCGGAAGCAGGAGAAGAGGGGGGATTTTTTTTTCCGGACTGTTTAAACCTGCAGAAGTGAGTGTAAAGCAAAGTAACTTTCCACCGTCTTGATCCTGGAGTGGGGTGTCAGGACTGACGTTTTTTGAAGCTCACTGACCAGAGACAAACGTTTCTGACAGATAGCTAAAAGAAGAGAAACATAGTGACTCCATTGTTCCCCTTCGCATTTTAAAGGAACAAATATTGACAAAATATCTGAAAAAGGAAACTTTGTTGTTAGATCTGTCTTTAAAAGAAAAGAACAAGCAGAAGTTCTTCCCCTAGAGGGAGCCTGTGAAACTGTAACCAACTCTGAATCGGGGAGCTTGCAGCTGTCACAGATTACGATCGTGGGAATAGACTTCTGACCTTGCAGGACAATATATTCAGAAGCTCTGTTGTGTGCTTTCTGTAAAACAAGTGCCCTACTGGAACAGCTACATGAGAAGACGGATTTTATGACTGATGCGATCAGAAATTTTGGACAGGCAGTGGGAAATTATACAGAGCCCACCCAGGAATCAGATCAGGAGTGTGCCCTGACAGAACAGATGAGGGAAGAGGATGTTTCTGAATCTTGGGCGCCAGAGATGGAGGGAGCTGTGGCCCAGCAGGAACATGAATTCTTGGATTTGACAAATGAACTTGGAAAAAGCCAGATTTGGAAAGATAAAGTTTGGTTTGGTTTGGTTTGGAAGTGGGGGGTTGGATAGACCCCCCTATGCATGGAGGTTTGGACTTTTCAAGTCTGGCAATGGGCCGTGAGAAGTTTGGGGTTGTGGGGGCTCTTAATTTTGGAGGGATTTTGAAACATGTTCTTAAATACCACATGGAGCTTAGTCTGGACTATGTAAAAGGGGCTGATTTGTCGAGAAGGGTCAAAAGCATTGTCAAGCTGGAGTTCCCAAGAGTGAAAGGAGCAGGAGATAAAGGAAAATACAGCTATAAATATGAAGAAGAGCTGCGGAAGGGACATGGAAGTGACTTAAGGGCCTCGGACATAAGATTGCCAGGTTAATGCGCTAGATTGATGAGATAGAAAGGACTGACAAAACCCGGGACCAGGAGAAAGAGACGCTGGATGAAGATTGGATTTTTTGTTGTTGTTGTTTTTTTATTAGGGTTGTTTTATAAAATTGATGAATGTTAGGAAAATGTTGGAACGAAATTATTTGGCTTTAGCAAAAATGTTTAAAGAATTATGTAAGAATATTATGGTTATGAGAAATTGGTAAAAATAAGATTTAAGTTTTAAGCTTTAAGGTTTTTATAGTAAGATAAGATTAAAATAGATTAAGGTAAAGTAATGACAGAATATTATGAAATATGGAAAGGATTTGCTGCGACAATTAATAACCAGGATACAAAAAAAGGGAGGAGGAGGAGGAGGTCAAAGAAAGAAGGTAATGACAGTTAAGGATTTGAGAATATTGGATTTGTTTTTAAATGTTTGTGGTATATTTTTGTTTTTTGAGCGTGTTGTGATATTTTTCGATTTTGATTTCTATCAATCTGTATTGTTTGACTGTGGTTTGTTTTTTCTTTGTTTTTTCTTTCTCTTTTTCTTCTTTGTTTTCTTTTGTAATTCAAAAATTTTCAATAAATATCATTTTTTTTAAAAAAAGTTTTCAGTGATGTTGGGATTTTGGAAAAATTCTGAACTGGGAGAAAATTTCTGATGCATATGGATTGTGATTTAGCACATTTATTTTACAGCTGTTTTGTAATCCAAGAGAAATAATAATAATAATAAAATGTCTATATTAATCTAACATACCACATAGTTATTTCAACATTTTTCTAATAAGCAAATTATCTGAGTGTAGAAACCCCCCTTACAGTGCAATCCTATGTGTCTACCCAGAATTTCTGTTGTTTTCAGTGAGATGTGCTCCAGTTAATTTCCAGCCTTTATAATGCTTGCTTCTGAGTAGACATGAATAGAAAGTTCAGCCCAATATCACTGACATTTTTATTGGGCAAGAAAATGAGGTGGTTGCAAAAACTGTAATTACCTTAATAGCTGCTTCTAGGTGTTCAATCAGTGAGTCAACCCCAAAAAACCTGGCTTCTTCTAAGACCCCTAGCACAAGAGAAAAGAACATGAATGTACGGTATCCTTGCTATAAATTACAATTATCATTATTCTTAATTAATTACCTTCCACATACAGTGGTATCTCAAGTTAAGAACTTAATTCATTCTGGAGGTCCGTTCTTAACCTGAAACTGTTCATAACCTGAAGCACCACTTTAGCTAATGGGGCCTCCTGCTGCCGCTGTGCTGCCACTGCACGATTTCTGTTCTCATCCTGAAGCAAAGTTCTTAACCCAAGGTAATATTTCTGGGTTCGTGGAGTCTGTAATCTGAAGCGTATGTAACCCGAGGTACCACTGTATATGTCTCCAGGCAATCTATGCAGTACCTCAGAAGTCGAACGGAATCCGCTCCGGAAGTCCGTCCGACTTCCAAAATATTCGGAAACCAAGGTGTGGCTTCTGATTGGCTGCAGGAAGGTCCTGCAGCCAATCGGAAGCTGTGAAAGCCTCACTGAACATTCGGCTTCCAAAGAATGGTTGCAAACCAGAACGCTCACTTCCAAGTTCATGCCGTTCGGGAGCCAAAACATACGAGTACCAAGGCGTTCAACAACCAAGGTTGTATAATAAAAACAGCTAAAAAAACAATGGTGAAAAGCTGCAAAGAAATGACATACCATGTAGTTTCAGACATGCTCAGCATCCTGTTCCCTTAAACGGGGTTGCAGGAGCCAGTCACAAGATTGTGCACAAATTCTTCTTCTTCCCCAAAGTGAAGCAAAGTTCTTAACCCAAGGTAATATTTCTGGTTTAGCAGAGTCTGTAATCTGAAGTGTATGTAACCAGAGGTACCACTGTATATGTCTCAAGGCAATTTATGCAGTACCTCGGAAGTCGAACGGAATCTAATCTCTAACTAGCTTATGTCAGTACAAGCAACGCCCCACTTGATCAGCAAATGGGCTCCCGCTAACATGCACGCTGCGCAGCATCCAGTAACGGAGCCCTCGCACCAGTGGGAAGATGTTTCTACCCATTTTAACCATTATGAGCATTAACCATAGTTGCAGTTAAGCAGGACTTGAAATATGGGTTTGAAGACAGTTTCAAAACTGGTCAACAACACACCATGGTTAGCGTTAACTTAAACAACACCCATACCCACCACCATTGGGGTGGGGCAGGTGTTTTTAAATTGTTATTTTAACTATTACTCTTAAAAGAAGTGTCATAAGTAGTAAAATGTAAAGAAACAACCAAAACCCTACAGTATTTCTAATCAGTACTAACTGAAATTATAAGGGGGTTAAACCTGGGCAGCAGAGGGGTGTGAGTGAGTGAGAGACAGCGAGCACACAAAATCCTGCAAAGGTTCATTAACTGTGATTAGGTGAAATCCTGATTAGATCATCATCATCATCATCATCATCATCATCATTATTATTATTATACACAATTCTATCCCCCTTTCTTCTGTTGAGCTCATAATGGCACAGAATAGCTTCATGGCTGGGTGAGGATTTGAACTCAGGTCTCTCTGCAGCCAGAGCACTGGACTATTACATGTGCACAGGGCCCAGTCCAGTCCTGTGACTGCAGCAACTCAGACTGCGTATTTCAGCTTCATACCCGTTGAGGTTACCTCTTCTCTTGGCAAGAGAATGAGGTTGCTTAAAAGTTTTAAACTCTCTCCTATGAGCAGCGCACACCAATAAAACTGTCGGTCGTACACATCTTATATTGGATGTAATTGGGGATGGAGGAAAGGAGAATTAGATTTCCAGCCCAAAGGGCCTCATGGTTATCCAATTTCGGAAGCGTATGCTTCCAAAACAAGTACTGTTTTTTTCCATGGGGGATGCAAAGAGGTGAATAAAATTTAAGAGCACAGGATGCAATGTCCCCAAATTCCTCTCACACACTTCTGATTAATAAAACGGCGATTATTCCAGCCTTTAATAAGCTGACAGCAACAAATATATTTAGGGTGAAGTATTTGTCCCACTTGAGCCAAGGGGAGTTTTGACATGCTATACTGAGAATGTATTCTGTGTTAGTTATAGTTTCTCTAGCTCCAATCAATTAAGAGCTAGGATGTAAAGTGTGAGCTCTACGATAATATATTCTGACATGTTTCTTCTTTTTTAAAGCTAAGAATTAACCAAAGTGGCCCTGAATTAGGTCAGGGAAGAAGACTTGACCCCTTTTTTCTATCATTATTTTCCTTCAAAAAAGAAAGAAAGAAGATTGGCTTTCTTCCCTTTCTCCTCCAAAGCTGCCAGGAGACCACTGGGAAAGAGACCTCTCCACACTCCCACCCAAATGATTTAACAGCTTCAGGAGCGGCATTTGGAGTGTGAAAATAATGCGAGGGGAAAAGAGGATAAGCAACCCTTCCCTCAGTGGCAGGATGTTCAAATTCTAATATGCTAGTCCTACACAGAGTAGACCCACTAACAATAGGTAGACACAGCTAACTTTGGTCTACTAATTTCAATGGATCTCCTCTGAGTATATCTTAGCTGGATATGTCCCAAGCTAGAGTCCACCTCTCTCAGCTGCAATTTATTTTTGTTCCATTTTGTTTTAATACTTCAATAATCAATCTTCAGAATTCCATATATGTTTGGCTCTTAAGTCTGCAGGATGCGCTCCTCCCCACCCCTGCTAAGGAAAACCAAACTAAGCAACAATTAGCTTTTTGACAGCACCATCCACTAGCCTCTTTAGGATCATCTAAGAACAAGAGTTTGGCAGCAAAGAACAACAGAATGATAACATGACTGGTACCCCAATAATACATACCTAACAAATTAATGCCTTCATTTACAATAAGCTGTCCATGACGCAAGAAGTTCAAAATTGGTTCAAAGTACTCAGGACTACGGTCGACTAGGAAGGCTCCCCGGTGATCTCGCTTATTCCCCCAGGCATCTGTTTCCAACAGGAAGTATCACACAAAAATTCAGTGCACAAAAAGAGAAAGCCTTCAAAAATCAGATTTATTATTGTAATAACCCAGTTGTGCACTAGCTCAAGGAAGTTATTTAAAAACAGACAGCTTGGGAGAGGGAGCAATTTTCAAAAGTCCTCTTAAGAGTTTCAACTCAAAATGTTACAAAGGAAAAAGCAAGCCAAAGACCAAATATAGGGGCTGTTCTAACAGTTCCATCCTACTTAAAAGAGAATTGGTGAGATACAGATTACAGTCATGGCCTTTCAGCTAGACCAGAGTTCAAATTCTGGACTAAGGGTTCCAGAGAAGCCTCTGACTCCATGTTAGAAACTCATCTACAGTGGTGCCCCGCAAGACGAACGCCTCGCAAGACGAAAAACTCGCAAGACGAAAGGTTTTTTCGTTTTCGAGTTGCTTCGCAAGACGAATGTCCCTATGGGCTTGCTTCGCAAGACGAAAACGTCTTGCAAGTTTGTTTCCTTTTTCGTAAAACCGTTAAAACCCAGGGTGCATTGCTTGAAGAGGTGCAGTTGCGACTTGACCTCGAGGAGCAACACATTGCACGCGGTGTGGTGGCCTTTCTGAGCTTTTTAAAGAGTTTGCTGGATTTTTGAAGCTTTTCCAAAACTTCTTCTACAGCTGTTTGGTAAGTTGAACTTTTAAAACTTTTTGGGGTTTTTGGGATTTTGGGTTGGGGTGTTTAGAATTCAAGGACTTGGTGTTGGGGAGAGGTTTGCAAGAATCTGGGAGCTTGTGTGGTTTTTTTCTGCATTTTTATGATTTTCTGTGACCATTGGGCCATGTTTATTTTTTTTTAAAAAAAATCTGGCTTTGAATTTTGAATTTCTGTGTGCTGGGTGGATGGGGAACAGCTGGGGAGGGGTTTGCAAGAATCTGGGAGCTTGTGTGCTTTTTTTTGAATTTTTATGATTTTTTGTGACCATTGGGCCATGTTGGTTTTTTTTGAAAAAAGTTTCTGGGTTTTAAATTTCTGTGTGCTGGGTGGCTGGGGGAACAGCTGAGGAGGGGTTTGCAAGAATCTGGGAGCTTGTGTGCTTTTTTTTGAATTTTTATGATTTTTTGTGACCATTGGGCCATGTTGTTTTTTTTTGAAAAAAATTTCTGGGTTTTGAATTTCTGTGTGCTGGGTGGCTGGGGGAACAGCTGGGGAGGTGTTTGCAAGAATCTGGGAGCTTGTGTGGTTTTTTATGAATTTTTATGGTTTTCTGTAACCATTGGGCCATGTTGTTGTTTTTTGAAAAAAAATTCTGAGTTTTGAATTTCTTTGTGCTGGGTGGCTGGGGGAACAGTTGAGGAGGGGTTTGCAGGAATCTGGGAGCTTGTGTGGTTTTTTTTGAATTTTTATGGTTTTCTGTAACCATTGGGCCATGTTGTTTTTTTTTGAAAAAGTTTCTGGGTTTTGAATTTCTGTGTGCTGGGTGGCTGGGGGAACAGCTGGGGAGGTGTTTGCAAGAATCTGGGAGCTTGTGTGGTTTTTTTTGAATTTTTATGGTTTTCTGTAACCATTGGGCCATGTTGTTGTTTTTTGAAAAAAATTTCTGGGTTTTGAATTTCTGTGTGCTGGGTGGCTGGGGGAACAGTTGAGGAGGGGTTTGCAGGAATCTGGGAGCTTGTGTGCTTTTTTTTTGAATTTTTATGGTTTTCTGTAAGCATTGGGCCATGTTGTTATTTTTTGAAAAATTTTCTGGGTTTTGAATTTCTGTGTGCTGGGTGGCTGGGGGAACAGTTGAGGAGGGGTTTGCAACAGTTGGGGAGGGGTTTGCAACAGTTGGGGAGGGGCTGGGGGAACAGTTGAGGTTTTTGAAGACTTTGGTGATTTTTAAAGCTTTCCCAAAATTTCTTTTGCAGCCATTTGAGGATTTTGAAGACTTTGGTGATTTGCAGCCATTTCGTAAGTTAAACTTTTAAAACTTTTTTTTTGGGTTTTTGGATTTTGGGTTGGGTGTTTGGAATTCAAGGACTTGGTTGTGGGTTTGAATTGCTGATTTTCTTTTTCTTTTTCTGAGTTTTACAAAGGTAACAGCTGTGCTGCCATGGGACCCAAGAAGACTGCTGCTGCTGCGGAGGCCGGCGAGAGGAAGAAGGAGAAGGTGACGCTGGAGATGAAGAAGGAGATCATCCGGAAGCACGACGGTGGAATGCGTGTGACGGACCTCGCCAGGGAGTACGGCAGGAACCCATCGACCATCGGGACCATCCTGAAGATGAGGGAGAAGATCCTTGCGACTGATGCAGCCAAGGGAGTCACCAGGATCGTGAAGAACCGCCCAGCTGTTCTGGAGGAGGTCGAGAAGTTGCTCCTCATCTGGATAGAAGAGAAGCAGCGTGCAGGGGACACAGTGACTGAGGCCGTGATTTGTGAGAAGGCCAAGGCCTTGCACGCAGACCTCATCCGGGAACAGCCAGGAACCTCGGCCGAGCCAGAAGTCTTCAAGGCAAGCAGAGGCTGGTTTGACCGGTTCAAGGCAAGATCCGGAATCCACAGCGTGGTCAGGCATGGAGAGGCTGCCAGTTCTGATGTTCCTGCGGCTGAAGACTTTGCCTTGGAGTTCCTGGAGGTTGTGAAGACGGAGGGCTACGTTCCACAGCAGGTCTTCAACTGCGACGAGACCGGGCTGTTTTGGAAGAGGATGCCCAAAAGGACTTTCATCACACAGGAGGAGGCCAAGTTGCCTGGCCACAAGCCCATGAAGGACCGTCTGACCCTGCTCTTCTGTGCCAACGCAAGCGGCGACCTGAAGATCAAGCCCCTGCTGGTGTACCACTCGGAGAACCCACGGGCCTTCAAGAAACACAAGGTCGACAAGGAGCGGCTGAGTGTCATGTGGCGATCCAACAGCAAGGCTTGGGTCACACGTGTGCTGTTTGTGGACTGGGTCAATCTTGCCTTTGGCCCTGCTGTCAAACAGTACCTGCTGGACAATGACCTGCCGCTGAAGGCTTTGCTTCTGATGGACAATGCTCCTGCTCATCCTAAAGGCCTTGAGGTGGACTTGTTGGAGGAGTTCAGCTTCATCAACATCATGTTCCTGCCGCCTAACACCACGCCACTGCTCCAGCCGATGGATCAGCAGGTCATCGCCAATTTCAAGAAACTCTACACCAAGGAGCTTTTCAGGCGATGCTTCGAGGTGACTGATTGCACCACCATCACCCTGCGGGAATTCTGGAAGGACCACTTCGACATCGTCACCTGCTTGAAGATGATCACCACGGCCTGGAAGGGGATCAGCCAGAGGAATTTGAATTGCGCTTGGCGCAGCCTGTGGCCGGACTGTGTGGCACCAAGTGACTCTGATGCACCAGAGTCGACAGTGGTGCAGGACATTGTTGCCTTGGGGAGGACCTTGGGCCTGGAGGTCACAGAGGAGGACGTTTGTGAGCTGGTGGAGGAGCACGACCACGAGCTGACCACCCAGGAGCTGGTTGAACTGCAGTCAGAGGTTGCGCAGGAGCAGGCCTCGCTGGAAGAGGAGGAAGCAACTGAGGAACGGCTGTCCTCCAAAGAACTGAGGGACATTTGCCAGAAGTGGAATGAGGTGCAGGCTTTTGCAGAGCGGCACCACCCTGACAAGCACGTGGCACATGACCAAGCGAACATTTTTGATACGACGGTCATGTCGCCTCTCAGGGAGCTGCTGAAACGGCGGATGAAGCAGCAGACCATGGACAGGTTCCTCAGCAAGAAGCAAAGAGTGGAAGAGGAACCTTCTTCGAGTGGTCCCCAGAGTCTTAGAAAATGTAATGTACCCTTTTTGATTTTTAAATGTTTTTCCGGTCATGTTTAGAAACTTAATTTATTGTTCCTTCAATTGTTGATATGCTCTTTAAAGTATGTGTGACTTTAAAGAGCAGTTAATAAACTCTTGTTGTACCGAATTTGGCTTTGATTGGACTTTTTTTGACCATAGGAACGCATTAATTGAATTTCAATGCATTCCTATGGGATTTCGTGCTTCGCAAGACGAAAAATTCGCTAGACGAAAAAACTCGCGGAATGAATTAATTTCGTCTTGCGAGGCACCACTGTATATGATCTAATTGGCAAATGGCACATTAAACCTGGGCTATGGTTGCCACAACGGAATGTCTAGGCGCCATTCCCCCTTGCCTGATGTGATATTATTATTATTATTATTATTATTATTATTAATAATAATAATAATTCCATTTCGATACCACTTTATATTTTAAAGAAAAAATCACAACACGATTTACAACACACTAAAACATCAAATAAAACAATCCAGAATAAAATTAATTCAAGCTTCAAGGAAAATATTTCAGACACTTCTCTAAGTGACATTCTGCTTTCCTCAGTTGCCAACCTGGCATCCAGAGCTCGCCACAGGGTCACAATGGGACCTGCACCAGTTGCAAAATAAATAAATAAATAAATCCCCACCCATCTGGCTGGGTTTCCCCAGCCATTCTGGGTGGGGAAACATACAACATATCTAGCAACATAGTAAAAACATCAGTCCTTAAAAACTTTCCTAAGACAGGACTGCCTTCAGATGTCTTCTAAGTCAGATAGTTGTTTATCTCCTTGACATCTGAAGGGAGGGTGTTGCACAGGGAGGGGGCCACTACCAAGAAGGCCCTCTACCCTGCGCCTGGGCTAACTTCAAATACTGCTCTGAGCTTTCCTATAGTACAGGGGTGTGAAACAGAATCCACCTGGTGGGCCGGATCCTGAGCTCCCACAGCCCCTGTGGGCCATTTTTAAAGGGTGGGGGACTGCCCACTTGTCAATCAATTGATGTCACAATGACTCAAGGGGGGCAATTAACCTTTGTCTTGCCAACCTGAATTCATGCCAGTGATTTAAAGCATAATTAAGATTGCAATCCTGATTATTCCTCTGTATTGTAAGACAGATTAATTAGGCATCTTTTTCTGTTGCTGTACAGGGAAAAATTCAAGTTCATTTGTTAGAGGAAGCCAGGTTTGAATCTGGCTTCTTATGTTCTTCTTCTCACTCATACAGGGAAGAAGCAAAAATGGAGAATCACACCACATGAACAATAATCCAACAAGAAGACAAAAAGCTTATTTGCTTGCAGAAACAACCAACTTGTCATACAATGGGGCAGCTGCCAATGAAGCTATGCAATGCACCTTTCGATAAACAATTTTTCTGCTTTGAGAGAGGCTCTCATAACAAAGCATAAAAAATGGGGGGTTGACTTAGAATAATTTTAGTCCATACTAACCTTTATCTTTAAACATGCGAGCCAGCATGCTATCAGGTTCTTTACTAACTAATGTGGTCCTAGGGGGGAAAAGCAGAAGTATTAACAAATAAGTTCAAGGCTTTGATTTTTAGAATGATGTTCAGGTTTTGCGTAGGTTTTTGTTTTGTTTTGCAGAGATTCCCTCTGTGTTTGGTACTTTTAACTGTAAACCTTGTGGAAGAGGGCCGGAGCTCAGTGGATGAGCTTATGCTTTGCACATCATGTGCCGCAGATTCAATTCCCCACATCCCCAGGGAGGGCTGAAGCCCTGGAGAGCCATTGCCAGTCCGTGCAGGCAACCATGAGGCAGATGAACCAATGGCCTTCCTATTTTTCCTATGCCATTCCTTCCCTTTGCTCCAATAGCAAAATCATCATTTAGAAAACCAACAAGCACAATTTATTTACTTTAAAAGGGCATTCGACTGTAGAGGGTTGGAGCCGAGAGGTACTGCCTAGAATTTGGAGCCTGTGTTTTAGTGGGATGGAGTAATTTTCTGCAATGTTGGTAATGATTTTATCTGCCGACTCCTGAGTTCGTTGCAGCGTTTTGCAAATATAAATCACCTTGTGGCAATAAAGTGACAGGCTCTTACCGGGTAGTTGTGAAGTACCGCCCTCCAACGTTGAGAGTTATCCAGTCTGAGTGAGAGCCTGTTAATGCTTCAGGAGTGTTTACATCATTCTGGGGATCTGTAAGCACAGAATGTACATGAACACTTTTAGTGCCGTCGTGAACTTGTCCATTTCACAAGACAAAAAGCAACAGAGCAAAATTCTGGATTCTTACCAATGAATGGCTCCCCTTCACATACAAAGAGGACATCATCATCCCTGAAATGGGAAGAGAGAAAGAGAGTCAAATGTTTCCATGTCCAAGGAGACGGTAAATAACTCGGTTTAGGGCAACAGTGACCAGAAGCATAACTTCAATTTCTAAAGTTTTAAATTTAAACTAAGGGGCATTAAAAGCTAAGGAACTGTTCCAGGATAATTAGCTGGGTGCCAGAGAGGCAGTAAATAATTGAGGGTGGAAAACAATCACCACCATGTTTTAAATTATGCATGCTTTAAAGTATGGTTGTAAATATTTTAGAGATAATTTTATGTAATAATATTTTTTGTAACCTGCTTTGAGGTTTTCTACGATCAAATGGTATATAAATTTTATGAAATAAAGGAATGAATGAATAATTTGGTTAAACCCTTCTAAGACTGTGTTACTACAGAATGCAGGCTGAGGACTGCATGTCTGAATGTGTTCCATCAAAAACTCACTGTGCACATGAGCTAACCTACCAGGGATGCAGGGGAGCATTTTGGCATGCTATTTCCTACCTGCATTCGGGCACTGTCCTAAGGGGGTTGCACCATGATGCTTTTCTGAATGTGTAGACCCTCTCTTAGAAACCTAGCATCCACTTCTGATCCCACCCTCAAATATGTTAAGCTGTTCCCTCTCCTTTGCATGTGTGTCTGAAGTAACTACTTCCCACAAACAAGGCAGGCTTTCTGGGCTCACAGGAAAAGTTATTTGGGCACACCCAGTCATGTCATAGTCAATGGTGCAATACAAGCCACAATTACTCTATGAGCAGAGTAATATTTTGTTAATGCCAAATTTGGAACAGTTGTTTCAATTGTCTTCAAAAACTGATAGCAGAATGTATTTTCTAAAAGTTAACTTTCAGTAAACACTTAAGTGTTCAATTTTGCAATCCAATACTTGTACACCTCATTTTGACCCAGTCACCAAAAAATGCAACAACACTCACAATTGAGGGCACTGGAGAAAGTTCAAGTTAGATGCAGATTTTTGCAAGAAAATCTGAATGAGAATTTGTTTGAGGTCTATTTCCCAACAAATTAATTCCAGCCTCTGAAGGCATCAGACAAAACCAATACATAACAATAACTATTTAAGGTAATAAGTATATCAGAGCAGTGTTAGAAAGCAAGGAGCCATGTGGCTCCTGGGTAGTGGGAGCCAAAAAATGTCTGTGTGCCTTTTTTCTTTTTTTTCTTTTTGCTGCCACACTACTCCGCAGACCAGGTGATTTGTCTAACAGCAAATATTAATAATTGTATATAGAGATAGAGACAGTTGCTGCTGGGTGAATCACCTGATGTCTTTTGCTGCCGCGGTGCCCAGCAGAGCAGCTGACTGCAGCCAGGCAAGTGGAGGTGCTAAGTGCACAGCTCCATCCAGTTGCAAAATGCACTTAGTGTCTGGTAATTTCGAACGCTGAATCAGAGTCCACAATAATCTCTGAATCAGGCAAACTATGATTACTACAAACCCTGGCTCACCACCCTACTAGAACTGAAAACTGTTTTAAAATGGATTTTTATTTCTGGTATACAGGCAGATTGTGTTCTTTATGACAAACTCTGGTTCCTCCAAACCGGGAAATGGAGGAGGGAAAAGGAGGGAGTCCACAACATGCTCCCCCAAACCAAGGTGTAGTTTGGCCAGCAGTTTTGAAGTGGTCCTCATGAGCAGCTACCCCACTTTTGGAAGATCAGAAAGCAATGGCACATTCCAGTGCAATGAGGTCATTGTATCCTAACAGACAGTTGACAGTCACCCCCTTCCCTCCAAGCAGCTGTTGGTTCCTTTTAGTTTCTGCAAGAAAGTTCCAATCATGTGAACATCAAATCCACGCCCAACTTACCTTATCAAAGCAATGTCGTCAATGAGCCCACCTCTCCCATTGTACACGCTGGTTGCTTTTATTCCAAGCTTATTACTGGCTACAGACAGCAAATCAGACAGTGTCCCATAAACAGCCACAACCTATAAAAAGAGAAGGTGAGTATTTAGCCCAACAGTGGTTAATGTTTTAGGGCCCCCACTTTTGTTTTATGAACCTAAATTCCCTGTCCAACCTGAATAGCAGACATAGATGCGGAAATGCCAGAAACCTCAACACCATTTGAATTACGGCACATTCAAATGCAGTTGTCATGTGTTTTCATTCAGCTAAAGCAGAGGTTCATAACTCAAACAAGATCTTGAATAGTCAGCAGCTTCACAAAACACAAGCTACAGGTGCATGGGGTTCCAGTGAATGAAAAGGGGGGAAAGATGCTTTGCCCCAAACACACACAGTTTGTTATTTATGGTTCCTGTACTTGTTCCTAATCAGAGCTCGGCTGCCTGTTGTTGATTATGAGCAGAAACAGCAACAGGAAGAGCACCTGCTAAATTTATGCTTAATGCTGCTATTTCTACTCTGTCCCTCTGTGGATGTATGACGGCCAGTACTGTAAATGAAAGCCAGCAAAGTGGCTTTTCTGGAAAATTTTGAATTAGAAAGCTTTTTAGACTTTCCCACCCAAAACCCTAAAATAGACCAGGTTTTCCATGACTGTCTTCAGTTTAGTCAACAAAACAGTGTGTGCCATTGTAGGTTTTAACATGTCAAAAGTCACCTGAGCCTCTGCTCAATAGCCAAACTTTCTGCACTACTTAAGACAAAACAACAAAAACAAAGTCTGCTTTGTATTATAGTACTGACATTACCGTATTTCAAAAAGTAAAAGCCAGGACAAACAGCTTTTTTTAGGAAGACATTTGTAAATGTTTCCAGATACAACTCAATAGTGTACACTTCCTTATACAGTATTAAAAACATTAAACAAAAAGAATGAAGGCACTGCATACTAATTTTAGCTTACTAAGAGAGCAAGAGTTTTATGCATGTGATTTTCTTGGGTATAGTTGCCTGCAAAAAAAGTTACAACTTCAAAACTGACTGATCTGATTCACATGACATGGTCAGTCGAACTATGCCTTTGCCAGACCATGCAAGCAAGTGGGCTCAGAGAAAAGCTCACAGCTGCTTTGCTCCCCCCTGGTCCTTTCTACTGCCAAGCCATGCTTAGCTAAGTCAAGGTTTGGCTGAGCATGCCATCTTAACTGTGACTTGTGGTTTAGCTCTCTCCCCTTACAAACCATGAGACACAGTCAAGGTTCATTTTTACTGTATTTACTAGTTTCACACACAACTACTTCAAATAACAATTTCCGCCCTGTATGACTCATCTGCTCCATCTCTAAACTTGTTCAGTATTTCCAAAGGCAATAAATAAAACCATTTTTGGAATGCCATGTTTACCTATGTTTCACTAAATTCCAAAGCCACCTAGAGCTTTTAACGGCTATGTCTACAGCTAATGGCTATGTCTTCAGAACCAATTTACATGTACAGTTATCAAGGATTTTTTTTAAAAGAACAGGTTTCAGAGACAAACAAACCTCTGAGTGAAATTTACTAACATGAAAAAAAGAAAACTGGAAAATTCAGCTGTTTGCATACATCCAGTTCAGAAAGGATGGCGGTAATTACTGGAAGGATGTCATGTTATTAGTGTTATTTTTAATTATGATGGGCAATAAGCTACTCAACCTTTTGTTTTGGACACAACTTGCAACCCATCACCATACTTGGGGGTAATGTAGAAATCCCTGCCCTCCACCCAGAATCGCTACTGAAGGAAGCCCTGTTTAGGGAAGTTTTTAATGTTTGATGTTTTATCGTGTTTTTAATATTCTGTTGGGAGCTGCCCAGAGTGGCTGGGGGAACCCAGCCAGATGGGTGGGGTCTAAATAATAAATTATTATATATTAAGCTGTTGCTAATTTCTGACTCACTCTTGGGTACCAGGTGAAACCTTTTTGCTTTAGGGCAGAAGTTTTCAACCAACCAAGTTCTTTCTGTGGCACATCTTGCCTGCACAGCTGGCAGCCTCTCACCCATTTTTGAACACCCTCCTTTGTGGAGTGTTTCCTCAGCCTCCTCTCCTTGAGAGTCCTCCGGTCAGCTGCTGCTGCCACCCCTGGTCTCTGGGCTGCCCCCAAAGGGAGGTGCTTGTAGCCACGGCTGCTGCAACAAACAGCTGTGCAAGCCTTTGGAGGCAGAGATGTGAGAGGGTGCATCTGGCAACATGGGAGGGGGGCTGCAGGGCTATCTCCCAAAAGAAGCTCAGCAACTTTGGGTGATCCCTCCATTCCAGGTGCTGGTGGGGGTTGCTACACATCTGTGTGGCCACTGTGCAAAACAGGATGCTGGACTAGACAGGCCTTTGGTCTGATCCAGCAGGGCTTTTATTAGTCTCAAATCCAACAGCTTCCCTAGGCACTTTCACCTGGTAACGTTACTGCTCTCTTTCCACAACCCAGCAAAGTCTAATCCGTTCTGCCAGCTTGTTTTTCCATAGTAATTATTATCTACTTCCTACCCACCCACTCACTCTTTCCTTTGTCTCCCCCACATATATTTATTGCATTTATTTTATTTGGATATCCCTTAAATAATAAAATTCTCAAAACAATTTACATAAATTTGTGTATGTGTATATTATATATTTATGTGTATATTATCAATAAAATCAAATGTCAAGAACAAGGTAGCCTAATTCTTTTCAAAATAAGATTCAGAGTTTTAAAAATATACACTATAAAATAAAATTACATTCTAATACATGTGTGCCTTGCTTTAACAAATACTCATTTTACGTATTTGGGTCAAACAGAGTTGTTGCCAGTTTTCCAAGCTGATCAATCTTGGGTGATTGATTTTATCGAATATAATTACATGATTATTTTCATTTAAATCAGTAAATATATATGGTGAGCCTTCTTGCTTTAAGGCTTTTATAGTTAAATAGGCAGGGCATAAATTCCTTAACTTTTTTTTAAAAAAGGATTTACAGTACTTATTCCGTGTGACATTCTAAGAAAGAGGATCACCAAGATGTCTTCTCAGAAGTGGCACTGCTGGAATCTACCTGCTCAGTGACCTCTATTATTATTTTTTAATAAATAAATGCTACTGTTCAGTATAATTTTAATCTGTGTATATTATCTTGGGGCAGGGCGGGGATTAAATTCGCCCTAGAAACGTTTCTAAAGGATGCCATATAAATCAGGTGACTAAAATTGAAAGTCTACATAGAAGTGAGTCCCAATGGGGCTTACTCCCAGGTAAACTGGTATAGGACAGCAGGGAAAGGGGGGAGGGGACCCCAAACCCGTAGACTTCTAATCAGACCTTGAGATCTAGCAACTTCACTGCCTGTTTTCGATTGTAAGCTGCTTGGGAGCAGAGACTTGGCTCTGTCGCTTCACGTGCCTCTTGCCCTGCTTTGTATCATGACTGGGATGGTGGAAATTAAAGTCAATCTCCTCACGATTCAAGCCCCTTCTCACCAAAGCGCCCCTCACTCACCTTTCCATTCCTGGGGCTGCCATTGACAAACAGGGTGACTCTCTTCATCGCCTCCCCCACCCCGGAGGGACTGAGGCGCCTGAAGCCGCGCCCGGGACTTCTTGCCAGCCGAGCGACAAACCCGGAAGCAGCGCTTCTCCAACTGGCACGCCCACCCACCAATCCACGCCACTCATTCTGAATTTTTTCCCCTGTCTTCCCCTTCTTTCATCCAATGGGAACCAAAGCCGACGCGATGGGCGGATCTTCTCGTCTGGGCAAAGGCACCCGGCTGCTCTCCTCAGAACGAGCGGGGCGGAGTCTCAAGTAGGAACCTATCAAAGGCGGGAGAGGACGAGAGGGGCGGGGCACCACGCCCTGAGCAGGAGGCCTCCGGGTTTTTAGCTTTTCATATACAGGAGATGCGAACGTGGCTCCCGATTGGCAAAGCTAATACCACGTGGTGTGCAAACACGGCCGTATCTAGTTTTCCACCATTAACTTTACTAAACGTTTAAAGCTTCCGCCGCGCGGCAGGAGAGGGGGGCGGAAAATAGTTCCCGAGATGCGGCCGGTTTCTGGCCTGCGTGGGCTGAGGAGACCCTCAGACAGCTCCTTACGTCCTCTCGCCTGAGGCTGGAGCGCGGCTGCAACCCGAGACGGAAGAGAAAAGGCGTCGGAGAGTGTGTGGTGACGGCGGAGGGATACGTGGCTCGCCCTGGTCGTCGGTTTGAATGGGGCGCGCGAGGCGAGAGCAGGTCGGGCGTTGGGGAGCCGCTGAGGCGCCGCTGAGGCAGCTCGGCCTGCCTCGAACTGGGCAGCAGCTGAGGGGAAGTGGAGGTAAAGGAGCGGGAAATGCAGGTGCCCCTTATTAACTCTCCAGTTAATTAATCTGGAGTAACGCGTCTCCGCTATGGTGCCTCAAATGGAGCTCCTTGAGTAGTTTTGAATTTTGGCGGGGTGGGGGGAGGGGAGGAAGATCGAGATCTACTGGGGTGATCGGGATCCACTGGGTGATTGCAGTAGATGTGCCATTCCCAAATTGTTTCAGTGGCAGCAGCTAAACGATCCTCCCTACTCCCCACTTTCCGCCCCCTGTTATATAGCTACAAGCGAAGGGGGTAACCAGGAGTTTATTTCTGCGCAGGAGAACTGTGAGACTCCCAACAAACAAAATTCCCTGGCTCCCGATTCTTTAATTCGAAACTGTGGTTGGTGGATCTCTGGGATCTGGTCAGAAACAAAATAGTCCTGAAGTATTGCTTCTTGGCGGATACATGGTATGTATATGTATATATAGTTCTAATCAGTTTTCCCTTTCTTTCTGGGGGTACTCAGTGGTATGCAGTACCGGCGCCGTATTTTCTAGAAGAAAAGCACTGGTTATGACTGAGGGGAGATAGGCAGTGTGTCCGAGTCCCCTACTGATTCCTGGATCCAGGACGGATTCAATTCTAGTTTCCTGGGGAGGTAATGGCCCTCTCCAGTATGGTTTATTAAGGTAACAAAGGAAGTTACTCTTTGCCAGATAGCAAATGGGCAGGCCTCCCTACCTCAACTCGCTGGTGGCTAGAAAGAGTAAAGGCCAGAATTGAGGTGTGTGGGAGGTAGAAGCTAGAAGCAAGGCTTTGATCTGGGCAGCTGGGACACAACACCATGCCTGATTTCTGCTGGAATCCAAGGCTGAGGCTATGAGAGAAGCAAGACCCTCTCAGGGTGTTAACGCTATCAGCCCCTCCATTGGAGGCTCAGGTTGTATATACAGTACAGGCATCAAACATTTTAGGCACATCCAACTGAGGCATGATTGCTGATGGGTGAGTCCGTTTGGACCTAGAAGGCGGCAGAACGGGGCAGGGGACACTGTTCTGGGCTCCACTTATATGCACACTGTTAATGCACGTGGGTGCTAGGAACAGAACTCAAATGCAAAATTGTTGCCGCCTGTGTGCGTAAATAAACCATATATCCTAAAGACACCACAGTCTTCGCTGTCCCTCATTCTGAGGAAATCAAATCCTGGGTAAGCGCCTGGAATCTTGCACTACTTGGAGATTAGGGTGGCATTCAACAATGTACTGTTAGAAAAGTTATGTGCCTCCACCGCATGATGGCAAGAGCCCATGGGTTCTAGGCATTCACCCAGAGTCTCTGGTCCTAGTTTGAGGCAGAGACTGTTGTAGCTTTAAGAAATATGGTTTATTCACCTATTTACATCTTTGGTCTGCATGAAGGGACTCCATATCTTACAGCACAGTCATTTCAAGAGGGGCTGGTACCCCACAGCAGTGCAGCACCTCTGCAGCCAGCCTGCATAGATATGGATCCCAGACCTTCTTTCTCCTTCCCAGAACCCCTTGCTACCAAGCTCCCTTTTCCTGTCACCTCTAAACACACAGTTACCCTGGCAACCTTCCAAACCCCTGTCTCTGTTCTTACTTTGTGGGGACGGGACAGTTCTCTTGCATTTTCAGTGGCCGTGTTTTCTTTCTTAATGGCCCTAGCTTGGCTAGGTTTTGTCTAGGCTAGCCCAGCAATTCCTCTTCAGTTTGCATTTCTCCCTTCACATCCCAAATCATCAAAATCCTACCATTTATTTCTAGGGTTTAGTGGGTGTCCCCCCCCATCTATAATTATATTTTTCTGACTATATTTTTCCATTAGCTTAAGTAGAATTTACTGACAAAGAAACAAAATTCAAGGGTTGCAGTTATGTATTATAAGCCTTGCATAGGTTTATTATGAACTAAAGCATTCAGAAAACTCAGTGGGGCTTACTCCCAGGACTGCAGCTTTTAACAGATGCATTAGAAGCTGGTTTTCTTTCCACACTTCTTGGGGATGAAGGGTTAGCATGTAATTACTCTGAAGTAAGTACCACAGTATTCAAATGGGGTTTGCACCCAGAAAAGTAAGCCTGCAGGTTGCATCTTCACTCTGAAGTAAAACTTACGGTTGTCAGTGGGATTTATTTCTGTGTAAGTAATATGCATGTGGAATTGTGATTGTGTGCTTTGAATGTGTGTTTTAGTTCTGAGCTCTATGCATTCAATGGGGCTTACTCCCAGAGAAGTGTGCATATATTCACAGCTTTAATTTATAAAGGCCACTATTCTTTTCACATTTGGTTGGGGGGTAAGCCTTAAATTCTGGACTGACTTTTGAAGAGGCATGCATGTATCTGTATCCTGAACCCCTACCCACCAGACAAAGAACTCCAGTTCTTGTTCTACCAAAGTCTTTAATGCTCAGATCAGATTGCTACATAAGGCAAACTACATTACAAGATTTAGAGGTAAATACTAGGTAAGATACATGGCTAAGCATCCAACACATGGCACACTCACACATGGCCTTCCTTTTGAAGAGTGGGGCAGGTGCTTGACAAGCAGTTAAGAGTCCTGGGATTGGGCAAGCAAACAGGCACTTGTTTGGGTTGGGGCACTGAATGAGGCTTTTCTGCTAGAGACATCTGTTGTTGTATCGGGTTCCTCATCAAGGTCTGAATCTCATCCGCCACCCCAGTCTCTGAGCCCTCTCTCACATCAGACACTATTTTGAGTCCTCATTCCAGCATGGAATTGGCTAATATCTTGCTTTTGTCTCAAAAACAGGAGAGCTCCGGCTTTGCAATGGTATCTTGGTGCAGAAGTTGTGGTTTGGAGACAGAATCCGTGATCCCAGCAAAGGAATGATTTGCATCACTTATAAATCAAAGGCCGTAAAGACTTTTCCAATGGAAACTCGGAGTAATAGGAAGGTGCTTTCTGAATGTTCTAATGTGCAAACCAACCTACATTTGGGGCTTGAAAACTGCATTGACAGTACAAAGAAGGCAGACAGTTGTTCATCAGATGCTCTAATAGTAGACATGTCTACCATGTACAGCAATGCAGGAAGCCAACTGGTAGAGGATCACCCCACCACCTTGGGGGATACAGACTATTTGACACCAAACAAGAGTGGTTTTGATTCAACTTACGGAATATCAAGCAGCTATGCTTCACCTCCTGTAGACTTTTCTGCTCTTACAGCAGCTGATTTTGGAATCACACCAAAGTCATTTACGAAACAAAATAAAGGTAAGGATTGAGGAGGTCAGAAATATTTTTATGCAATGTTCCTTGTACATGTAGCATTCTGAATCATTTACACTACAAGAAATATGTAAATGGTAGGCATGAATTGTTAGGACATTGGCCGTCTTCTGGTGGGTCAGGACCCAGTTTTTGCCATGGCCTGCTCTAAGGTTGGTTGCAACAGCAGCGCTGCTACCATTCAGTTATAAGGTAAGAACTTTAAAAAATTGATCCATAAATGCATGTCTAGGTTGAAGGATGGGTACTGGGTCTGAAAAGGTTCAGGTGACAGGCATTTGTCACAAAAATTCTTTGGAACTTTGCGTTTATGCATGCATGCACACACATGCCAGGAGTCTATAAACAAACTTGTTATCTCATGGTGGGCGTCCTTCTCTGCCATGATGAGCATGCTTTTGCTGGGTTCCTATGTTCTAACAAATAATTTGAGCCAATGTGCTCAAAGATTCTCTTGCTGCTCTTCTGCACTAAACCTTGGAGCGGGGTCAAGCCCCTTTCCCACTACCAGTTGCAGGTGATACCTACTCCTGTAATTGCACTGAAATTTTCTCCCACAACAGAGTTATGGAAGTACTCCAAACACAAGGTGATACCATAGGAAAGAGCCCTCCCCTTCAGAAAAAGAGCAGTATCCGTGATAATCACAGATTAATCTGAGTAAGTGTGCATGCACACGAAAGCTTATACCTGAACAAACTTAGTTGGTCTATAAAGTGCTACTGGACAATTTTTTTATTATTTATTTCAACAGCGTCAGACCAACATGGCTACCTACCTGAATCTAGAATTACTGGTTTTGTTATGGCTGCCAAGGCCAGTAAAAATTTGCATTTTTTTCTGTAATGTGTTATTTTATCTACTGTTTTTTCAGTAGAGATATAAATAAAGAAAATTGGGAGTTTTTTGTTTTGTTTTTTGAAAGAGGATGTAAAGGAGTAAAATGTTTGCTTACTTGTAAAGAAGGCAGTCTTCAACTTTTAAGCGGCTCTGGAAATGAAGGTACAGTACACCGGCATTGTTGCTTCGAAAGACTCGGAGCAGAGGGTCCCAAAGCAGTGGTTTGTGAGCTTTATACTGGTGACGTGTCTTTGAAGAGACAGTGGCTGTGCTGCTCTATTGTTATCTAAGCCTGGGCTTTGCAGTGTATGTTGTTTCTCTTCCATATAGCAAAGCAATCAGCATTTCTGTTGTCCTTTCGCTGTATTTTACCCAGATACAGAAGGCAGGTAGCCAGTGTTCTTGTCAGGATTGATGTCAGTTCTGAGGGCCTTTCCTGTGCTTTCTCTTGCTGTTTGTGCATGCATGCCAAGGGTCTGTCCAGGTGTGGAGCCAGTCAGACAAGTGAGGGCTTGACAGACCTTCGTTTCTATCACAAGTGCTGTCATTCCCCTCTTAATACCCGTCACGCTTCCTTTCCTTCCCTCCATTCTTAATGTCCCCCACCCTAGAAGTAGAAGCCTCCTTTCCTCCTCAACAGCCTGGAAATTCTCAATGTGAGTGGTATTGTTGAGAGACGCCAGGTAAGTAGGGATAAAACCAATGAAGTTTTCCAGGCTGTGTACCGCAATGCTTGCAAGTAAGTACCATATAAAATACAAACTACCTTTTGATCTAAGGTGCATGGGATCAAGCTTCCGAGACTGCAGCCCTATGCATGTCTACCACTGATTTTGGTTAGGCTTACCTCTGCATAGAATCAGGTGCATGGTGCTCCCTTGAATGACCACCCCTTGATGCAATAGAAGCCATTCCTCTTCAACACCCCTGACATGATATTGTTGAGAGACACCAAGTAAGATAGGGAATTAAAATTACTGCAACGGGCAGGGGGGGGGCATGAATTTATCTGCCAAGACCTTCAGCAATTTTTATGTGATCTATGGAACAGAAAGATGTGGGAACCACTGATTTGACACTTGCGCTTCCTTCTCTATTCATTGAATGTTCAATATAGATTGCATTTTGTTTTAGGGGACTCAGAAAACCTGTTAAAAAAATTTAGACGGCGGTCTACGATTGGAGTACGGGGTTCTCCAGAAAATAATTCTCTTATCCAATACATTGCTCACCAAAAGAGAATAAAGAAGCAAGATACTCTGGTAGGTGTGTTGTAATCTGTAATGTGGACATGGAGGCAGTTAATTGCAGATGTTTGCAAAGAATGTACATCCATTTCTAAAGTCTGCCTTACAGACTGAATGGTTGTGAAGTAGATGCTGCCTCTGGGACCAAACAAAGAGGGTGCTGGGTTTTATAGAGTTTTGATGGATGCCCATAGCAGGGGCCAAAAGCATAGCTTTGATAATCAGCTCAAACTTTTGCTCAGCACCCATCCTGCCTCTGCCTCGGGCTGGGTTTTGTCTGATGACAAATGGGAGTGCCTCCTTCCCAGGTCCAAGTTGAGCTTGGACTCCTCACTGTCACCTTGAGTCTTGGAGGCACTAATGCATAGGGAGGGTCAGTGTTCCTGTACGGAAATCATGTATATTATTTTTTAAGTATGTTACTGAATTGTTGTGGCCTATGGGTTTAAACAAAGAGATTTTAAAAATCTGAGAATAAAAAGTGACCATATCCAGGTCAGATATAATGAAGCACAACAAAATTAAATTATGATTTGCCTTTCTAAATTAGTTTTGTTGTGGTTTTTTTTTTTGGAGGGGGTGACAGAGGAAATTGGGTTAAATTGCATGGGTGGTTACAAATAAGACACACACACCCTTCTTCAGGTGGAAGCCATAATTGAATAACCATTTCTTAAAATACTTACATTCACTTTAAAAATTATAAAACAAGTACAATGAAAACAATGTGCAAAGTACACTTAATGTGCAACATGATAAAAACCTTTGGATTGTCAGAACTGGTAATCAATGTAGGAAATATAATTTAGGTGCAATTAAACTTGACATTTCCTTTATGATTGATATGGAAGAAAAGCAAGGCTGTTCTGTGAGACAGTCATTTGTTTTTATGGTGGAAATTGTTTGGATTTTTTTCTGGTATCTTTGAACAGGCTAGTCCTCTTCAATGTCGAAACACTTGGCTAAAGGACAAGATAGCTGCCTTCCAGTTTTCCTTTAAACCACTTGAGGAATCCAAGGAGAGTGCAATCCATATAACTGGCAGCTGTAAGTAAGGAAAATCGAAGCTCAGCCTATATTATGTATATTTGCTATTGAACGTAACAAACAAGTCCAAGAAAGCAACTTTTGTTCCGTAATTCAAACTGAATACCATATTGGCCTGAATATAAGCCGCACCTGCAAATAAGCCGCACCTTAAAAATTAAAGGGGGGAAAAGAAAAAAAGACAATACCTGAATATAAGCTGCTCCCTTAAAATTGGGTTACAGGCTGAAAATCACTGTGGTTGGTATACAGTGGTACCTCGGGTTACATACGCTTCAGGTTACAGACTCTGCTAACCCAGAAATAGTGCTTCAGGTTAAGAAATTTGCTTCAGGATGAGAACAGAAATCGTGCTCCGGCGGCATGGCAGCAGCAGGAGGCCCCATTAGCTAAAGTGGTGCTTCAGGTTAAGAACAGTTTCAGGTTAAGAACGGACCTCCGGAACGAATTAAGTACTTAGCCCGAGGTACCACTGTAATTGTAACTCCAAGCCAATTTAAGCCTTTGATCTTGCAAGCCTGCAAAAGTTACTGTACAGTCACTAAAATCGCAAATTGCTCTTCAATTGCTATAATTTCACAGGCGCTTACACCCGTAAATGGCAAATGAACAGTATCAAGCTCACAAATCGGCAATAAAACATTGCTTCCCCCCCCTTTTTACCGTATGTGTTTCAGCAGCGATATCATAAAAGCCAATTTTTGTAAGGTCACAAATTTAAGTCACACTTTAGCTTTTCATGGTCGGAATTTGGAAAAAAAAATGAGGTTTATATTCAGGCTAATATGGTACTTTTTAGATAGTTTTCAGTAGGATGTATCTAGTGTCTTCATCAATATTTTATCTCATCTGCTTGAAATAACTGCCAGAAATCTTGTAAACCACTTTGGGAGGTTACTGTACTTTTTCATTTATAAGACTAGGGTTTTTTATGTTAATGTTTAAAAATTGGGGTCATCTTATACACAGATAGTGCTGAGTGTATTTTCTTAATTTTGAGTCCCCAAGAATAGGGGGCATCTTATACACGGGAGCGTGTTATACACAGAAAAATATGATATATACCTGGAAAACAGTAAAGAAATGCTTTTAAATAAATAATATAAATGAATTAAATGCAGCTATGAAAACTGAAACAAGTCTTCATGAGCAATCTAAAGTGGGCCTATCAGAATGTAAGGATTTTGAGGAAAATCGACACTGGAAATCTGTCAGTAGAGGAAGAACCCCAGCTGATATTCAAGTTGACAGTACTGTATCTTCATTACAGAAACATCTCATCAGCACTACTGCTGTTTCTAAGGTATTCTTTCTCTTTCTCTCTGTTTGTGTGTGTGTTGAAACTGGTGACATTAAATTCCCTCTCTAGCTATGTCTCTCGTTCGAAATAAATAAAATTGAAAGCACTCTCAAGAGTCTCAGGCTATTCACAATATTTCCCATAAAATACTAGGAAGTAAGTATTTTCTTTGAACTTCTACTGACAAGAGAAGAAAATATTTTGGAGTAGTGTCCAGATGTTTTTAGAAACATTTATCTCTGAAGTTCTTTTTCAACTTGTATACTGATAGCTTCAATTCCAATTATCTGAACTTGGAATTTCTGGTGGGGTGAAAGCCACAATATAAACCAGCCAGAAAAAGATCTTGTTTTCTTCCAAACCATTCTACCACAATTTTTCTCAGAGCAGAGAAGATGATAGCTGCTTTGTAAAAATTGCATTGTCTCTTACCTTCTCAAAGCCAAAGAGAGAGTTTTCTTTGTTTGCTGTGAAGAAGCTTCTGAGACCCTGCATTTTGGGGAACCTTCTCTGTCTCATGGGTTTTGCCACTGTAGCAGCTGTAATCTGTTTCTCTTGTGGACTTTTGCCAGAGAGGATGAAAATTCTGCATTTTTCCTTTTGTGGACTCCACAAAAGCAGCAAGATCTGGCTCCTCTCCCCTACTGAAGCTAGATAAAAGGCACATTATTCTTCACAGGAGTGGAGGTAATGATGCCTTCTCCATGACTCCTCTTCCAGCTTTTGATGTGTTTTGCTGAAAACTAGCTCATGCTTGGACAAAACCAGTGGTTTGGTTGATGCCTCAGCAGTCTCCATGGTCTGTGTCCCACCTCCATTTCACCCCCATTTTCCTTCTAAGGCATTTTTTGGTATGCATGTATAATAATAATGATGATGATGATAATAATTTATTAATACCCCGCCCATCTGGCTGAGTTTCCCCAGCCACTCTGGGCGGCTTGTATCCCAAACTTTTGAATGTTGTCAGTATTTGGTCATCTACAGTGTTTCTCAACCTTTTCCCGACTGTGGCCCCTTTTTTCTTTCCTCTTGATACCCTTGAGGGGGTCCAGAAAGCAACTCTGCCTCAGGTTACTCCCCAGAACCTCTCCCACAAGTGGGAGGGGCGTTGCCATTGCCACAGACCAGAACGGGAAGCCTAATTTTGGTTTCTTAGAATTCCTAAACAATGCCAGGTATGAGGCATGGTAAACCAAGTTTACACTATGAGGCTTGTGTAAACTAAGTGATGTGTCCTTTAAAAATTGACATTTCAAATATCCCCTGCTGTTCCTAGGTTATTCCAGTCTTGCAGGCAGATACTAGGGAATCTGGATGCATCCCTTTAGGAGCAACTCCAGATAAGTCAAAGGCTGGGTGTGGTGAGTACTAACATCCATGTTATTAAGGCTTTATTAAAACAAAAATGTGTAAGTGTTTTCTTTTTGAATGCGATGTTTGAAAATAGAACTAAAATCGTAACTTTGATATATATTGTACAAGACAATAGCAATAGTGCAGTGGAAGGTTTAATAGCTTACTTTAAGCTGCCCTGATCAATAATAATAATAATCATAATCATAAAAAAGAAGGGTGGGATGTAATTCTTAAATTGTAATCTAAAACTGTTATTTCTGATCAAATATGCAAGTGTATTAAGCGACGTTCTGAAAGATAGTAGCGTACCTTACCAGGAAATGATGCTTAACAACTATGCTTATCAAATAGATGGTTTTATAAAAATTTTGGGAAGTTCTTGAAATATGGAACAAAAAGCCACTGGGGGGGATGTTTTTACATATGATTCCCATCTGTTTTGTGATGGTCTGATACAGTGTTGGTAGTTGAAAACTAAAATTAGTCCAGCTAAAATCATAAGTCACTAAGTATTGTTTTCACATAAAAAAAATGGTTGTTCTTGATAAAGTAAAAATCAGTTATCTTTCCTTGCTCCCTTGTGCATGGAAAGAAAGTCTCATTTAGTTCAGTGACACTTACATGTATAGGATTGCAGGCTTAATCCTTTATAACAAATGCTCACAATATTTTAGCAATAATGTACATAGTACAGGAAGGCCTGGAAAAATCATTGGCTTAATGCTGCCACACACCACTTGGAAAGTCTTTCTGGCAAGCATAGAATTGGATCTATATCGTCCCCCTGAACCAAAATCAAACTTGTCAATTTCACTGCTGTGAAGAAAGATCCTTTGGTGTGGGTTGGGTAGCCTTTCATGAAAATACTACTTCAGTGTTGCTGTTGACTCAAATGTGATATTACTAGATTTGTAAGAAACATGCTCTCTTTCCCTCCCGCCCAATGTTCTAGTATATCCTAGAGAGAATTTTTCACATGGCCACATACACATGTACACAGTAGAATTATTGAATATATTTTAGCAATACAAATAGTTTGTAGCTTACTCATCTCCTCCCCACTTTTTTTTTTTTAACTACCTGTGCAGAATTAAGCAGCAATGCTACATCTAATCAAAGCTGTAAGAAAGTTAGATTTGCAGAAAAACAGAGCTTGGAAATATTTGATGGAAACAAGCCACCCATTACCCCCATACGAAAAGAACAATTGCCTTCTAATTCTCTTCATTCTGCTTTGAAGAAAACGCCAGTAACTACGTTCACAGAAGACATGAAGGTTGGTTATATGACCATCATTTGTGTAGTATAAGCTTTGTGTGTGTAGCAAAATCATTAAAATTGGGAAAACCTAAACATATTTGAAAGTCAACATTTGTTTAGATTTCATAAACAGAACAGACCACCTACAAAAACCCATTCAGCAGCTGAAGATTGATAACACTACTCTTTTATAGGGACATCTTGATAAAAGGATGGAGGAAGGAAGTGAAGTGCTCCCAGATTGCAAAAACTCTGAAACACTGCAAATAGGTTTGAAATGCTTTCTCTCTTCCCACTCCTCTACCATGAACTCAAACTTATTCCTAAGTCCTTAGACATGAATTGAACTTGGTTGCATGAAACTATTTAGGAATCTGTCAACACAGCTTGAACGTTCATCTTGTACAAGTAATATTACAGAAAGAAGTACCGGACCAATAGCTGAAATGAATATATGCAGCAATGATCTAGAATCTGACATATTTGACACCTTTTTGTAGATTGTCCGTTACGTAGACGAAGAGAAGCCATGTTCAGTGCATCAGGTTCAAGAGAAAAAAGTTCTATCAAAAGTCCTGACAAGCAGCCCTCGTCCCAGCCAAACTTTGATTATGTTGATGTAAGTTGGCTTCTCACTTTTTTTTGTGTTGTGCCATTTTTATATATTTGAAGCAGGAATGTTCAGATATCTGTCTGGATTAACCCTTCTCTTGCCATATCTAGCACTGTACACATTTGCATTTTATTGTAAAGCATGTTTGTAATTTTACTTTTGTATTATAGGAGCTTCTTCAACAATCACCTGATGTATCCACTTCTGAATATGCTGTAAACTCTGATGTGGAAGGTGAAGTTCTGTTTCTGTATTCTTACAGTTGAATTATTCACCATTATGAGTTAATTCATGTATTACACATTACCACTGCAATTTAAGAGTTGCCACTCTGTGGTTTTGTGTTGCAGAATGTTAAATATGAACCTCATGCCATGTTGCTGGCTCACGGAGAGGAGCAATACTGTTGTGTGAAGGAATTATGTAATTTGATAGGTTCGTGAGGTTTCCATTTACAGATATTACTGATGTGGTGTGGGACACAACTAGGGTGAAGCATTTTCCACACCATGACAGTCTTGACAATGAACGGTAAACTAAAAAACACTGTGAGGCTGCCAGATTATTGGGAATATCCAACTAAGTCATACTCAGAATGGATCCACTGAAATTAATTGATTTCATTTGATCTGCTCTTGAGTCTGATAAACACTGGAGATCACCAGTTAGTTCTGACCCACCTATATTAAATGCAACACTTCCTGAGTGTATATTACCATGTTGATATAGACTTGGGATATTTTCAGTAGAAAATAAATGCCTAAGAACATAGTCCTTGTGTATAATAAATGCATGAGCACTGGAAGGATTCTAACGGAAAAGGTTTGAATTACTGGTTAAAACTTTTGGAAGGAGCCCATTGCTGCATATGCAGCAAGCTATCAGTGTGGCTGAGCTATAGTGTCAAGCCTGCAGATGTAATTTGAGTCTTGTTCTCATTTTTAGAAACAAAAAATAGTTCTCCGGCATTCCAGGTAACTTCCACTAGAACCACCAGGTCATCTGCTAAAAGGAAGGTGGGTTTATTCCTTTATCAGCACAGAGTTACTCTCTCTTAAGAACTAACATTGCAGTAAGTGAATATATTGCTTTTTTTATTATGTGCTTGATGATTGCATAATTTGTTGTATATCATACATCACTCGGGTATATTTTAATGTTGAACAGTTTAGAAATGTATACATAGAGAAATATGTGTAAAACACTTTGTTTAGATTTGATATACTCACACCTGTGAATTTACAGAGAAATGTTCTTCAGTCCTCCATCAGCTATTTTGTACATGCTAGTTACTTTTAGAATGTGTAATAAATTAATATCTCTTGCATAATTGAAAAAAACTGGCAGAGAAAATTATCAGTGAAATGAGAATTTTTTTTAAGTTTTGTAGCTGCCTAATACTACTTTGCATTTTTTAAATACACATTGCCCTATGTAATTTTTGTAGTATAGCAGCCTCTTGACTTTTTAAAATTGGTGTTTCCTTCCAGTCTATCAACAAAGCAGAAGAAATGGCTCTTAACCCTACAATAAAACCCCTCCCAAAATCCACCAAATTCCAAAAGGCAGGAGCAGCAACGAAATCGGCTGAAAAGAGAACAGTAAGTTACACAGGTTTAAAACTAACCGCTCCCATATGCTTTAAAAATAGGCTACAGATTGTTTGTTTTTAAAAACAGACTTTTAAGCCACTTACTGTAATTGTGTCCTATAAGCAGCATTCCGTGCATTGGTGGAATCCCAGCCCAGCTGTGAAGGCGTGAACCCAGTGTTTCTCAGTATTCTCCTACACACACAAAGAAAACAAGAAAATGTTTTAGCCACTGTGCACTTAGTCACCACTGTCCCCTCTTCTCTCCTGTGCCCTTTCTGAATGAAAGGGAGGGAAGCTGGTATCCAATCAGGATTAATGTTGGAAAGGGAGTTTGCTCAGCCTACATGTGGCCCAGCAAAAAAATTAGAAGCCTAGTTTCTAGCAGAATCTTCAAATGTTATTGTTCACTTTCCAAGGGTAGTTATTTATTTTATTTTCAGTGTCATGGTTATTAATTATTTTCATGGGTGCTGTGTTGTCGACCCTCGTTCAGTGTAGTTGTCACTAGTACACTAAAAGGTAAAGCCCCCCTGACACTTAAGTCCAGTTGCAGACGACTCTAGGGTTGCGGCGCTCATCTCGCTTTACAGGCTGAGGGAGTTGGCATTTGTCCTCAGACAGTTTTTCCGGGTCATGTGGCCAGCATGACTAAGCTGCTTCTGGCGCAACCAAATACCAAAACCAGAGCAGCACACGGAAACGTTTACCTTCCCGCCGCTTTCAAACTGCTAGGTTGGCAGGAGCTGGGACAGAGCAATGGGAGCTCACCCCGTCGCGGGGATTCAAACTGCCGACCTTCTGATCGGCAAGCCCAAGAATCATGGGTTTAGACCACAGCACCACCCACGTCCCTTAAGGTAAAAGTTAAAGGTGAATGATTATCTGTCAGGAGAAGGAGTGTTCCATTGTGTCTTCTAAATATCACCAGGCTGTCAGAAGCAAGGTTTTTGGAAAGAGGAGAAGAAGGAAAAAGAAGGAAAAAGCATTGTATGGGGAGCGACAAACTGTTTCAAAGAAACCTCTCTTGAGCCCAATTCCGGAGATGACAGAAGATTTCTCTTTTATGTCATCTTATCAAAGCACACCAAAGTCAGAAGTTTCTATCTTCGGTATGTAAAACTGTTGTTTGCTTTTCTGTTTTCTGTAATTAGTAGCTGATTTAGAGTTCATTTTAATTAGTTTTGCATGCTGACAGCAGGGTTTTTTGTTTCTATCAGCAGGTTCTGAAACGGCTCAGTCTTCTGAAGGTGTCACTTAAAATCTTCTTAACGGCTAGGCCAAAAATTACTAGCAGACCTTGACATTTGAATCTAAAGTCTCATTTAGCATTTAATAGCCTGGCCGTTTTTTGTGGCATCAAAGCAGCTAAGTAAGAGGTAGGGTAAGCAGAGAAATTGGTCAAAGAGAATATTTCAGGAGAGAAGTTGGAAGTCTTTTGGAAGACCAAAAATAAATCCTACACAAATTGGCCACTATTTTACTTTTGGGTCATTCCATATCAAGTGATCCAACTTTTTTATCTCATGTCATCCAATTTTCTTAATATTTTGTACACTTGTTGAATGATCAAAACTAAGTTTACATCTCAAAATTTTATTTTTTATCTCATCCTGTTTGTGAGTTAATGAGGGTTTGAAATGTCAAAAAATTGACAACTTTGACCTTAACACAAAACCTTAAAGCTCAGCCCAGAATTGAGATACATCAAAACTAAAAACACCAATCTCTTCAGAATTTTGTGGGCTTTAATATAATATGGATTGGATTGGGATGATATGTAACATGGTGGACTTACTTTAAATTTTAAATGTAAATTACAAAATTGAAAATTTTAAAAAGTGATTTAAAAATATGTTTAAAAAGTTCAAAAATTGTGTTGATTATTTAATATTTCTAAGAGCTACCTGCAAAATTTCATCTTGGGATTTCAATGGGATCACATTATTTACATTGTACAGACATGTCTGCCTTACTGGGTTCTATTTAGGATAATCCTATTTAGGATTTTCTTGGAGTAAAATATAACAGAATAAACAACACTTCAAACTATAATATCATTTGCAGGCATTTCTTTGAAAAGTTATTCAGTTAAAAGGTACCTGAAAAGCTAGTCAGGCTTTTCTTTTAAAAATGTGTTCCAAAGCTGAGTGATAACTTGCTGTTGCATGATAGAAATAACGCATTGAAAAAATTCTTGTTAGTACTTCATTTTGTGAACATTAGAACAAAATGCATATCACTGACTTCAAAATAGTAAGATCTGTGAAAAGCGCTTTACTGTTCAGACATCATGCAGAGCTACTGTTTGTGCTGTCCATAGTTTAAAACTGCATGGTTTTGTGCAGTCACCTCCAGAGGCAGTTCAAAACCATGCCTGTGATTTGTGAACATTAGAACAAAATGCATATCACTGACTTCAAAATAGTAAGATCCCTTAACCGTACTTTATGTATTCTTAGCCGTTTGGTATTACACCTGATGATTAAAACAGAAACAAGTTTCTTCTCTAATTGAAACTTTATTTATCTTAGATGATTCCAGCTCTAGTGTCCTGAATGCAGAAAACCAACCTAACATGCAAGATAGTAGTAGTAAAGACAACAGCTGTCTGCATTCCAGCCTCAATCTTGTGATGGAAGATGCTTTACCTGATAATGTATCTGGCTCATCCTCGCAGCTTCTTGACATGGCTACAAATGATACGAAAGATACTCTTCCTTGGAACCCACTTGAAAAGAGCTCTCCTGAGAAACCGAAGAGCTGCTATTTCCCAAGTGTTGAGGATTTTGAGTCTAAAGCACCTGGAAACAATCCCAGTGTTCCTAGAGATAATGTGAACAAACTGCCTCCTTGGACAGTAAATGACTCTGAACTCCTAGATAATTTACAGTGTTCTATAGAGGAATCTTTCAGGAGTGTAACCAGAAGTAATAAAAAAAGGGTGAGACGTAGCATGAGACTGCTTAAAGATGCGGAAAATGATGGGCTTGCCTGGATTCAGATGCCTGATGATAATGTCCTAGGCCAAGCTGTCCTGGGTTCTGCTGGCAAAGCCCGGAAACGAAAGTCCGCCTCCCGTTGTCCAGAAGTGGAGCCACTTCATCCAAAGCAAGGGACTAGGGACCAAATGCTCTTGCCAATGAAGGAAGGGCAGAAGAAAACCCATGTTGCAATGGGCCCTTCTGAATCCAGGAGGAAGAGCATCAGTGTGCCGAGTCTTGAAGAAAACCAAAATGCCACCTTGCACAACCAGAGAAACAGAAGAAGAAGCCTTGGCTACAAAAGTGATCGCTGCTACCAAAAGGATCTCATAAATCAGAAAATTATTTGAGAGTCAAACTAAAGTGCCTTTAGAAAGGTGAACATTTATGATTTCACTTCAGTGAATATAAGCTAAAACAGTGTTTATATGTGCTGGTTGATTTACATCAGTGGTTCCCAAACTTTTCCCCCATGGACCACTTGAAAACTGCTGATGGTCTTCGTGGACCACTTACCAATTTTTCTGCAAGTTGTAGCAATTCTAATGCACTATGCTAGATGCTATGTTATATTTAATTGTATTTTTTCTTGCTTTTATTTTTTATAGTGCATTACAAATAGCGTTCCATAGAATTCAAATTATAATGTGATAAATTACTATAAATGAACCTAATACAAATACAATTAAAAAACAACATGAGAGAGAACTTTGAGGGAGGTGGGTTGATGTAAAAACAAAAATAGGGAAATTCAAATGATGGAGGTTCTTTTCAGAAGTAATTGGAAATATAAAGATATGGTTCATGACAGCATAAAGCTCATAAACTTCACCCACTGTTGGCTTTTGGAGTCCCTAAATTTCGGACTGCACACTGGAGCACAGCCAGAAAGCTGACCTCCTTGGCTAGTGATGGTAGACGATGATGGAAGCGTTGAAACCAACATAGTTTCATTTATGACATTTACTGTGCAATCCTATGCATGTTTACTCCTGCTGAGCTTACTGCCAAGCATTAGTGGACTAGGCTAAGAAGGCATTGGGAGGGCTAGTGAACTTAAGCTTCATTGTATTTACAATCCAAATCTTTATTATGGTCATCAACCAGCATAAAAGGGTGGGATACAGTCATTTAAAATCTGAAAAGTGTTTTGGAAAGGTAAAAGGTATTAAAACAGAAGGTGAATATAAAAGTCTAGAGGAATTTAGAAGCAGCTAAAAGAAACTAAAAAGGGATAGGAGCATTGGGCGGGTGTGGAAGAGCATAAAAAGGTTGATATATAAAAGATTTTAGTTGCCACTTCCTATTTCCACATGGATTGAAAATCATCGTTCATAGTTAGTGGGGCAAGGCCACGGGAAAATAAAGATAGTTTAAGCCAATAATTGAGTCTGGTCTCCCACACTCTAGCCTCCACTTTTGTGAAGCCTGTCTCTAGTCTCAGAGTAGCATTAGAGACCCATTTTGGGACTTGAAGGACTGACCTTAGAAATTTGGATTGCACAAGTTGTAGTGGTGCAGAATTGGAAAAGGGACCCAACTGGGCACCATAGAGAAGTTGTGCTAATGGCTCGGCTTCAAATAATTTAAGTGCTGCTGGTATATAATGACACCTCTTGTTTTTTAAAAAAATAAGAATTTCTGATGAGCTTCTCTGAGCAATTTCAGCAGCAAGCATAGTCCCCAGAATGGAAGACTATCCCCCCCCCCCCCAGGTATTTGAAGCAGGAGACCTGCTCAATCTTGTGGCCATCTATGCTTCAGGAGCGGCTCCTAGGCCTTTTGGCAAATGGCTGCAGTAGTTACCGGAAGGAGGTGTACAATATGCCATCCAACTGTCTTAGGGGCTCCGCTCCAGATTTGTGTAGAGTTTAACTCCTGTCTTTTCCCAAAGATTTTCCCCTCTACAGCACGTGCCGTAACCACTTTAACTGCTGGACCCATTACTGGTCTGATAAAAGGAAATTGGGTGATAACAAATCGATCATGTTTAACCTGTCCTCTAACCACATTCCTATGTTTTGTTAAATACTCAGAGAACACTATATCCCATTTTGGATGGATCTTTCCTAAGGCACACTCGCACAATAGATATAAAAGAGTCCCATGCTCACCAAGTGGGAAAGCTTTCCATTGCCATCTAAATAAAACCTTAAGTGTGGCCTCTTGAATTCAAACAGATACTGACTTCACAGGAAGTTTCTTCCAAACCTTGCTCCATTCATAATCTGATCTCTCCAGACATACTCTTGGTTATCCAGACGTAATTACAGTGCTCTCCAAGCAGTATTTGTGCTGTCAGCGAATAGCTCTGCAAATACCTTCACTTTTACCAGGAGTGCTGATGTCCAGTCCTTCATAAGGACCCTCTGCTTGTCAGTTTCATCATTGTCTAGGAGTGCGTTAGTCAGTTTTGTGCCTTTTGCCTTATTGGTTTTTGTGGCAACATCTGACAGCTCAAGAGAGAATAGGTCCTTGTAACCCCTGCTAGCCAAGGATAACAAGAAAGCTGAGAAGACTCAGAGCATGCTATATAGTTGAATCCTATTGCCCTTTCTAATGGCTTGACTCCTTGGTTTTTTCAAAATTTCATTCCGTATATTTTATTCTTCTGTAGCATTTTTAAACTTTTAAATGGGCATCATGTTTCTTTCTAGAAACAAAGTAATGATAATGTATCACATTTTCTCTTTTCAGAGACCGTATCCTGTGTGTATCAGAAGAGGGCAGTATGGCATAACTTACAAATGAGCATATTTTATAAGGTTGCCTTTTGTTTTGTGTACTATATAGCTCGATCTTTAAGACACGTCAGAAACATTTTAAAAAATAAAATGCTATGGGCCTGATCCATTTTAAACTAGTATTCACTTTAGTTCTTTTAAAATTAATGGAAATTAGTTGTAACTAATTTGCTACATTGTCTAATCCAACCAGTTTGAAGTCTGTTCAAGCCCCTTTGGTTTCCATGGGAGAAATATAAGTACATGGTTTAATTCACTCTGTCACTATTTCATGTAGTTTCCATGGAACAGTGTCACAGTTCTTGTTCTTCCCATGTGGTCTTGTACAGATGCTTCTCATTTTCCATACATGAACCTGACAAAGTTATTTCTGTGTGGAGGATTGTATTTTGCTATAGATTGGAATTTGTTGTGAAATAGAATGAAATGCTTCAAAATATTAAGAATTCTTTATTGTGCTGTTGTGTGTGTTTTTACCTATGCATAGGAGTGTCTCTTCTTGTATTGTACATTATTATTACATTAAGAATATAAACCTATATAAGCTTAATTTTTTTACTTTAAAAGGCTTAGTAGAAATTGATTCTTGTTCGCAAACATGAAGTAGAAAAATGTCCACCTGAAATGATTTTATTATGTTTAAGTGTGCAACAAATTTTTGTAGAAGTAAAGTTTTTATTTTCATAATGTGTCATTAAAATACATTGGAACCTCAATCTTGTTCTTACCCCATGGCTGTTGTAGTGCAAAATGTAGTGGATATCCTGTAAAAGGTAAGGATAGATGCTTCTTGTCTATGAATATAAATGCAAGAGTCTGGGAGTAATTTGATTATCCATGGCAATTCCTTTCCACTCCTTCCCGATTCTCAACCCCCAATCTTCTGTACCATCCAGGTGCACAATTTTTCTCCCACTGATTAATGTAGGGGTATTGCAATTCTGTCACAAGATGCCAAATGCATTTCAGCAGAAGGATGTCTGTTCCTGAACCAACTTCAGCCTCATGGAACCTTCTGGTTTCTCCAGATCCATGGAATGTCTGTTCCTGAACCAACTTCAGCCTCATGGAACCTTCTGGTTTCTCCAGATCCATGGAAGAAGAGTAACTTTGAATGCCCATTTGCATGCGATAAGATCAGGAGGATGAGGCATAGCAGATCTGTTTCAAGCTGTGGCCCAAGAAACTGTTTACCTCGGGTTCTAGAGGCTCAGAAATGTCATAGCAGTGCAGACATAATTATTTCTGTAAGGCTTCAGAGATTTCTTATATCCCTCCTTTGATTTTTGCCTGTTCAGGACTGGGTTTTTTTTAAGGTGGTTGCAGTTTCAGTTTACTTTAATTGGTTGTGTGAAGGGGAGGTTAGCTTACAAAAACATCAAGACAAAAAAACCAATCTAGAGCATTTTATTGATACTATGGGGTAAGAATTAAATAAATGTCATCTTTTAAAATGGTTTTGCTTTCCAGTCTTTTTATTATCTGGAGTTCTGCAGTACCTTGTCATTCTGTCTTTGTGTGCTTCAGTTTTATAGACACTGTTGCTTTTCTCCCCGGTTTCCTATTTGTAAGTAGAAAGAACATCTGAGGGGTGAGAGGAACAGGCAGATTTTACTCTGTGATGGATTGGGTTACAGATGCTGATAGGAATTGGTTGCTTATGCAGAAGAGGGTTAAAGTTGCTCATGGGAATTTTTTAAGAGCAAGCATGTAGTTGCTGCAACTCCAGTAATCCAAAGCTAGGAGCTGAAACCTGAGCCAGGGCTGAATCTAAATTGAGGACTTGGAAGTGTAAATAGTGAGTGAACTGAGACTCGTTCAGCACTTATAGGGGAAAGAGGTATTTGGGACCATTGTACTTGAGAGGAAAGAGGAATTGGCAAGGGGCTCCTCACTTCTGAACGGTGTGTAAAGTAAAACACTTCATCCAGTGACCACACGCCTCTGCAAAACACTGTTCTTTTGAGGAGTGAAGAAATGTATACTTTGTAGCTTTGGCACAGTTCTCGGCTAAAGTGGTTATCAGGCAACCAGTTGGAGTGCAGAGCTGGGGCTCACCTGCCTCCTGTTTGGAAAATCTGAAACAGTTGCCAGGATGAGCTCTAGTCCAACACTTTGAAAGGGCTGCTTTGCTTGCCACCTTTTCTGCACAGCTATTTTTCTACATGGAAGTGATGTCTTCGTAGAAGAAAATGTGTGCATTGTGTGAACCACAGCCTGTTTTCGCTATGCCACAAGTACTTTACAATCCATGTATTCACGTTACAGTAAACAGCCCTCCCCCCCCCCGGGGTTGTGTATTAAATTATAAATTGTGAGACAATCCTTATGGACAGAGAGGTGTTAAGTTCTTCCTGGCTTACAATTAAATTGGTGGGGAACCTCTGGCTCATGGACATAATCAGCTCTAGATTCAGGTAGGTAACCGTGTTGGTCTGATGCAGTCGAAATAAATAAATAGTCCAGCACCTTAGAGACCAACTAAGTTTGTTCTGGGTATAAGCTTTTGTGTGCATGCACACTTCTTAATCAGCCCTGTTTGGCTTGCCATGTGGCTTTGCTTCTCTGTCACATGATGTCATATGACACCTGGGTGGGAAAACTAAACCCTTACACTACAGCAACAGAAATACATGCCAAATTCAGGATTGCAGCTGGAATGTAAGTCAGAAGTGCATTAAAAGTGTATGCTCAATTCCTCCTTTGAAGTTGAATCAGATGATTGGCAGTGAGCTTCTCCCACCCACCCAACCTGTCAAAGTGGCTTGGAGGACGGGTGCAGGAATATTTGATCCACTTCACACAGGCGCACACACCCCTGAATTGAATCCTAAATTCATGTATTTTGTAGTTGCTACATAGGTGGATTTTTTTTTAAGACTTTAATATGAAAGACTTGTGTGCAGTGCTTTTTGTTTTAAGAGTGGACAGGCTCAGCTTTTATTTGTGTTAAACTGCTTTGATAACCATTGTGAAAAACTTGAAATAATTCAACTGCAGCATTTCTCAATGGGAGGACAAGCTCATACTGATTGCAGTTTGCATTTTTCTTCTAAAGGGTGGGAGGTGTCATAGTTCAGTACGGAGGTTACCAGACTCAGTGCCTGCCATTTCCAGTTAAAGGGCTTGGATAGGAAGCTTCCTAAAACCAAATCAGTCAGTTTGTCTATCTGACACAGTATTGGCCACGTCACCTGAGATGCTGGGAAGCTGCTGCTGTCTCCATCATTTGCTACCTGCTATTTTTTTTAATAGAGATACTGAGAATTGAGCCTGAGAACTTCTGCATACAAAACATGTGCTCTACCATTGAGCTGTGGTTTCTCTCAACAGAGTTCTTTTTCCCTGATGATAAAAAAAAAAAAAATAGCTCACTGATTTTCTTGCAAATTCCCAGGCAGCTGCAGAATTCTGGCAATGTGATCAGACGAAGGGAAAGACTGATCTTGTTGCAATGTTTGACTGTCTTTGTAGGGACTAACCCCTCAGTATTAGCCAGCATTGTGCTGTTTTTATAGCTGTCCTGTAGCTTGCCTCTTGTCTGCCAAAATAACACTATATGCATTAAAATTAGATCAGGGTTTGGCTTTTTTAATGGGATATTTGACATTTTCAGTACCATCAAACAGTTGCACAAAGTGGTGACAATACAGCTCACTTTAATACAGCAGATTCCTTGTATGCTTTCAGGGCAAGAAATGCTCTGTTGTCCCATTTCACTCTGCCTGTTGACTGCAAGTTTGAAAACCTGCATATCCTTGTGTGATAAATTGCTGCTGATTCCATGCAGATTTCTTACACTGGACATATCACTGAACGGGTTGCCTTGTGTGAAGCAACTGTAAAATTCACTCCTTTAACAAATCACCTGTAGCTGGTGTAGAGGGGAAGAGGAAAGGGCTCCATGATATGAGCAAGGCTGAGGTGCAGGCTGTGGGCGCTTAACTACCAAGGCTGAACACAGGGGTGAGAACAGTTTACCCACAGGCATCTTGAACCACCAGGCATTCCAGGTTGGTCTGTGAGGCCATTTTTCAAATTAATAAAGCCACACTGACTGACATCACTCCATTAGGCAGATGAGGTCAGCTGATGGAAAGGGGTAAGGTTTAATTGGCTGTTGATTGCGCAGGCCAGTTCCCTGGACGTTCCTGGAGTGTGCATCCAATGCAGCTGTATTTAACACGCCCCCCCCCGCCCCACACCAGCAAATGAAGAGGGAGTTAGTTCCTGCTCAGTTTGGCAGAATTCGGGGTAAACCCCTAATCAGGATGTTTTTGCTTCTATTTTTTTTAAATAAACTTTATTAAGTTTTCCATCATAATAACACAAACCACAAAGCAAAATGATACACAAAAACAAAAAGGGGGGGAAGTAGAAAAAGAAAAGAAAAGGGGGGAACAATAAACAAATATACAATAAAAACAAACTTAATTCTTCCCAAATCCAACTTTTAAAACATCTTAATTGACTTCCTCAAGTCCCTCCCTTCTGAGTTTCCTTGTAAATTAGAAGTAACAGCTTTCCAATATCCTTATTAAACTAAAACAATTTCCAATTATAGTCATCTTATTCACTTTTCTTAACATTCTAAAACCCATTTATTTAATTATAACTTAACTTATCCTAGGCCTTTTTGTTTCTTTCAAGTAATTTCTAATTTTTTATATTACAATATTTGTTCAAATAGTCCTTAAATTTCCTCCAATCCTCTTGAAACTCCTCTTCTTTCTGGTCGCGGATTCTTCCAGTCAGGTCAGCTAGCTCTGAAAAGTCCATCATCTTCATCTGCCAATCTTCCACTGTTGGTAGTTCTTGTGTTTTCCAATTTTTAGCAAGTAATATTTGAGCGGCCGTTGTGGCATACAAAAATAATTTAACATCTTTCTTGGGCAATTCTAAACCTTTTATTCCAAGGAGAAAGGCCTCTGGTTTCTTAATAAATGTATATTTCAACATTTTTTTCAGTTCGTTATAAATCTTCTCCCAGAAGTCTTTCACCTTGGGACAAGTCCACCACATATGGGAAAAAGTACCTTCTTTTTCTTTACATTTCCAACAAAGGTTATCACTTTTGTGATAAATCTTTGCTAGTTTTACAGGGGTCAAGTACCATCTATACATCATCTTCATAATGTTTTCCTTTAACATCGTACATGCAGTGAACTTAACCCCTTTCCTCCATAGCCTCTCCCAGTCCTCCATCATTATATCATGTCCCACATCCCTTGCCCAATCAATCATAACCGATTTAACTTGTTCATCCTTTGTATGCCACTCCAACAACAAACTGTACATTTTAGACATATTCTTATCATTAGTATCTAACAACTCCATTTCCAATTTGGTTTTTTCTGTTGCAAAACCATTTCTCTTATTCATCTTATATAATTCATTAATTTGATAATATTGCAACCAATTCACTTTATCTTTAATTTGTTCAAATGGTTTTAATTTAAAACCTTCCTGATTCTCTAACAACAAATCTGAATACCTCAACCATTTGTTTTCCATATTTAACTTTTTTGGGGCCTGTGATTCCATAGGTGAAATCCATTTTGGTGTTTTTCTTACTAAGAGATCTTTGTATCTAGTCCATACATTGTATAATGCCTTTCTAATTACATGATTCTTAAAACCACTGTGGGCCTTTACCTTGTCATACCATAGATATGCATGCCATCCAAAACGATTATCCAAACCCTCCAAGTCTA